CCCCCTAATAAAAGCCCTGGAGTTCTGTTTACTTCCTCCCGCTTCCTCACGCCATGTGTACGTGACGTCGGAAGTACGCAGCGTTGTGTTCTATTAACAAAAGGTCTAACTAGTCTCCTAGCACGAGCGAGAACCAACACACACAGGTAAAATAATTGACTTTTGACTTGCTACCCGCCTTTTGCGCGTTGAAGCACTACACAGACGTCCCGGACCCTCATATTAATTTCTCCCATTAGTCAGTCACCTGCATGCAACAGCAAATAATACACTGCATCTTTGATCTTTACCTCGATTGCAAATGAAAGTTGTTTCGTCGGGGACTACCGGTATAAAAGACAATGTAGCAAAAGCTCTGTAACACTAGACGCAAGCACGTGAGAACTCACTACGCTCCGTTGTCAAGGCGTAGTTCCAGTGCACGCTTACATGTGTCACCATCAATACAGGGTTAAACACCAATCATGCGCCATAACCCAACCAAAGCCTTTTTGGATCACATGTAACGGGGTTACATGTCGACTGGTAGTCGACAATAGGTGTGGTGTACACAAGGGATGGGTTCCCTTTTTTAAAATAGTATAAGAACACAGTATCAAATGTTGAAGACTGATGTCTGTCAGCCATTGATTACGAGATCTTTTGAGAGGTTTATTTAGGACATTAGCGAGTAGGTTAATTACGTTGTTAAAAGGTGTTCTTTTAGATTAAAAGAAGGAATGATGTTCATTTCCCATTTTTATCCGATAGACACGTGCCTCTTTGAGGCGTCTTGTGATCATTGAGGAGATAGCAACGCCTTGTTAAGGCAGCTACTCCTCATGCACTCTGTGCGTCGATTCTCTGAATCGTTTGGTCCCCCTGGAACAGGGACCGTAAGATCTCTGAGCCTTTTGACTTTTTGAGTCGGGTTCTTTGAACCAAACCTTAGCTCTCTGAGCTGTTGACTCATTGAGTCGGGTTCTTTGAACTAAAGTTGCTCGTTGAGAGTTAAAGTCTTCCTCTGACTTAAGGAGCTGTGTAGCTCCGCTATATGCAGTTCGATTAAAGAAATAAGTGCTGATGTCACACTTGCAAGTGCCTCGGCACAATTTGATACTCTTCGTATCGAACTCAGGACCAGAACCATGCGTGGGATAAGAAAAGAGGATACCAACAACATGAAAGTAACGTAGCAAGTCACTGTCGTGACGATATATTGTGGGTCTGGCCTTGCGCCGGGACGCTTTGAACCAAACTGTTCTCGCATTGGACAGGGAAACGAGCGTCCTGCCAGCGTACTCAACAATTCAAGGTAGCTTGTGCAAGCATACACGTCCACAATATACCGACGCACCGTACAGAGACTTTAAAGGAGCGATTCCAGGACGTTGTGTTGGAGGCAGAACGCGTGTGAAAACGAATCTAGAACATCCTTGCCACGATATGCCAAGCGAAGCAGTGGACGGATAGAAATGATTCTGTCTATCGCGCGGCATCCATCGATATCCGTGGGATCACAACAAGTTATTGGACCACCTGTGTCTGCCACCTGAGTGCGGTCGCGAAGCGAGAGCATCGCACAGTAGCGACCGCGCCAGCTGGTGCCATGCTTTATTCATGCATTGTGGCTGGAGCGCGAACCAACAGGAGTGCCAATCTTTTCTGGCCTTATTCACGGTCAGCCCCCGGGCCGCCCACCGGCACTCATGGCATGGTTTAAGAAATACCGTGATCTAGCACATCGTTAACATAACCATGAAAATAGAAAATCTCAACCACCACGATTTGCGTGGCAAAAATGTGTTAATAACCTTGATCTCACCAACAGCAGCGACAGTGCTGAAGTACACCAATCATACACCTAACGAACGTTTCGAGATGGCAAAAATGGGTGAGCCTTTTTCTTGGTATAAAACCGACGAAAACGTCAGGCTACAATGGGATTGATGCGACAGACCAACTTTTCCCTGGACAACAGCAATTCCATCAGGTCGCCGCATCCGTCAGGTCTCGAACAAAGTATGTTATGTGCGTAGCGTCGCGAAAGCTTAAGCTGAATATGCCTGATTTTTTTAATTATACATATTTAGCCACGATCTATTGTCGCCTTGTTTTATCTTTTCGTTTTTGTCTCCATAATCTTGTGTCACCTAGTATTCTTGGACGGACCCGGCGTGCCACCGTGTATGACTATTCTGACTATGTCGCCACATTCCAACACCCCAAAGTTGCGTAAAAAAGAAACTCGTTGAACATCGTAACTGTTTCTTAAACACCCAGCCACAACTTACCGACGACTTTAGAGTGTTTTCATTCTTCCTTTTCCTTTAACTACTCGTTGCCTCTCTACCACGCCAACTGGTCAAAAAACTGACTCTCTCGCATCCAAGGTTTGTCACTGGGACACCGCAACACGCCCAAGCAATCTATTGTGGGCGATCAATTACTGTAGAACAGCTAGGTTAAAGTGCTGCAGACTTTTGCTCGGCACATTCTGCTAGAATCGACTGTGCAAGATAGGTTTTCATGTCACTATGGTCAAGGGCTGTAGCATGTTACGGTATTACCTGGTTGTCGGGTTGTTCAACAGCTTGTCATATGGGACAGGGAGAGACGGGCATCGACAGGTGAAGCGACGAGGTGACAATTTGACCGTCGGGACAGGGAGAGACGAGGATCGACAGGTAAAGCGACGAGGTGACAAGATGGACGTTGGAGCAGTATGATACGGATGCAATACGTAACGGCGTTTGGGATGAATATGGTCAAGTTGCAGTGCAGGCATATATTGAAGTATTAACGATCGAAGTATTACTATTAAATATACCTTACTTCTACTTCTACTCAACTGTGCACAAGTGCATTTGTTCAAGCTAACAAGCCAACATTGTCAGGCATTCAGAGGTGCTTGTCCGTACATCAAGGGCACAAAGAAGCATAGGTATGCATTTCAAGCGATAGATGAAGACGACATTACACGGCTACTATGATGTAGCCCAGCGGCTGGCGACATTGTAGCCGATGAAGTTCGTGGCTATGCATTCATCTTGAAAGACAGATACGTTATCTAGACGGTTCAGAGATCCTGAATAACTATACCAATATATTAGGGAGTAGGGGCATGGCGTTGCCAAAAAGTTTACAGAAGACTGGTTGGATCAAGAAGTTTCTGTGCAAACTTAATGAGATATGAAAACGAGGCAGCTCTGGTACAGGAGAACTGCTTGCGCTCCATTGCTCTGGCCTACTAATCTCGAGATATACTAGTGTACCAACCTGATTGACATGAGACATCAATTCGTGTGCGAAATGACGACGTAAGCCAATTGAAGCTGATTTGCAGTCCGATTAATGGAATAAGTGCTGATGTCACCCTTGCAAGTGCCTCGGCACAATTTGATACTCTTCGTATCGAACTCAGGACAAGGACCATGCATGGGATAAGAAAAAGAGGCTACCGACAACATGGACTTAGAGTAGTAAGTCACTGTCGTGACGAAGTATTGTTATAACATTTATAGATGCAAGCGTACAAAGCTAAACGCGCTGAATGATACAAACATGCTGGGCCGATCTGCACGATAGGTCATCTCAATGGCAAAATGGTGCGTTCTTTACAAGGTATCAATCAATGGTTGTACGCCCGACCAACGACATCGGTCAAGTATTGACAGCTAGACGCGTTCCCATCAAGATGTACAAAAAGCATGTTTGCGTTGCTGGAAAGTGATCCATATGCATGCCGATCAAGAGAGGAAACATCGACACGAGATGATCGAAAAGAAACAACGTGACAATCTATGTGATGCACACATGTATAGGACTGACGACAAGATATTTAGTGCACCCATCGTCACATCAGCGAGCCTGATCACCTGCTTTACACTCGTTCCAAACGCATCAATGAAAACGTAGATAAGTGACATGTTCGACTACGAGATGGCCATTTAATTACAGATTACGTGTCGTGAATTAGCAGTCAATACTGGGTATGAAATTTCTGCGGCGCTAACCCTGTAACCATTTCAAAATCGCGTAAACAGCAACGTTTGTAAAATCTTCCACATCAATCCGCACCGTGTATCAGCACGACGCCCTTTCCATGACAACGCACACATACCACTTCTTACCTTAGATACATAGACTGCAAAGTGCTCATTGTATTTCCAAACGCAGTCACCCAGTTCTGCGATCGTGGACGACTGCACTCTATTCTTGCACAGTACTGGTCGATTTTCCGTGCGCTTATTCGATATTGTCGGCCAGCAAGAGATCGATCTGGCTTTTACATCCAGCCTACCAAGAGTAGCATATTATCTTCACCTGGCTCGATGCTGCAGTTTGTTGCTGGACAAATCGAGTGTCTGTACTGCGCCTTTAGCTATTCAACTTTGTGTTTGCCATTACCATCGACACATCATATATGTTGAGTTGCCAATGCACGAAATCGCTCATGAACAAAGCAGTCTCTTGGAAGTGAGGGTAAGCTGATGACGGGCTGTATACCAGCAATGTTGGTAAGACTGTGGTCGCTGATTTCAAAACATTGCTCCGCGCTGAATCCGAGCTAGAGGATGTACTGGCGTGAACCGTTTTCCCAAAGTACTGATTGGCAGTGGTCGTGTATATATGAGACAAAGCAGACGCGAAGCTTGTAGTTGGCAGTTGCAATACACTGTCTTAAACCGCCCAGAGATGGACGACAGGACAGCTTGCTCTTCGACTTCGATATACATCGAGGAATGTGATGGCCGTCGGATGCGTCTATAAGTGGCGCAACTTACCTCACACATTCCCACGTATAAGGTTGGTCGCTGTCGATCCGTTTCCTGTATTCAACACAAGGCGACCGTCTATACCAAGACACACAATTGATCACAATAGCTGTAGCGACGTCAAACATGCCCGTGTCTTCTTATGGTAACTCAACATATTGCAGCGGCCTCATACAAACGTTTTGTGTTGACATCGCGACCACAAGTTTCATCCAAACATCTTCGCCGTCACTCACAATTTGCTCAGGCCGAGTTGATCGTGCGGGACATACTGAACGCCAATGCTTGCCGAACAAGCTGTTGCTGGCGGAGCTGGTCAGCTTCTGGCATGAACCTGCGTGGAAATTGCAAGATGCGCAAAATTCCCTCCATATCATTCTTCAGCAGCTGCTGCTGCAGCTCATTCAAAATGACAAGCGAGACACTAAACATGATTCGCCAGCCGTCAATGATGAAAATGTCCAGCAGGCGTATCACAAGCGTCGGTGCTAGCGTCTCAAAGGACGAGAAGAACGTCAGGAACCACCGAGTACAGAAAGTAGCCACGTGCACACCCTCGGCTTGAAAGTGCGAGTACAATCTTGGCATGTGAGTCGAAAAGAGCAGCTCAAACTTCGCTAGATAAGGTTGTAGAACCACCATTCCGGGCTCATAGAGGTTCTGGTTGTTCTCCGGCTCGGAAATTCCAACAAACAGCCAGAAAATGTCGGCTTCGTTGTCCGCTACTTCTGCCAGCAAGCGGACCAAGAAACCCATTCCTTGACAGTAGCCTACCCGGGGGTTGTACACGGCATACGCACGAAGCACGCGCCGCATCTTTGCTTCCAAATCTGACCTTCTTGCGTCGGCAATCGAAACGCATGTGCTAGAGTCCACACGCAAATCAATGCTCAAACAAGTGCTTCGTTCCTCAGTCCTGACAACGTCGTTTATCATGTCGTTCAATACAGATTCAACTGTATCTTCATCAGTCTTGTCAGTAGCTGCAGTTGTCATCGATGGAAATGGACGCAACGCAACTTCGGCATGATTGCTTCGATGACACGTGCGCACAACATCGACGTCAATTTCTCGGAACCAGACTGCGAGCTGCGTGTCATCTTCACCCATTGGTGACCCGTCTGCAGAACACCCGCCGTCCAGCTTCGAGTCCACTTTCTTTAGAAGTAGCTCATACGTACTGCGGCGTCTGCCGGCGGACAGGTAATACGATCCAAATCCGCTGGACCGCCACGGCGTGGACCCGTAAAATACTGAGAGCCAGAGCGAACTGCGGATTCCTGGGGATATACCGCCTGACCTGATACATCTTTTCCAGATTGGAGCGCTGTCTACCAAGCGAGAGCGAAGCCGAAAGTTGACCTGTGTACATACGTCGTCAGTTCAGCCCTCTCCTATCGCACATGTACCGCTGCAAAGCGCTGACCTTGGACAGTCGCGCGAGATCTTCAACGCGTAAGTACGACAGACATTCAAAGCACAGGCTCTCCCCCTGCAATCGACAAGTAGCGCGTCAAATATACTGCAGCTGCTAGATCAGTGGCAGAAACATAAGCCAAACCTTTTGGAGTAGTCTGGATAGAACATCGTTCGCGCCCGAGCTGATTGCATCGACCTGCAAAAGCGATTTCCCCACGCATTTGCTTCTTCTCACGTCTATTTCCCACAAACAATACTCGACGGCCAGCCACTCCGAAGGCAACTGGGGAATAGTAACAAGCTGCTCGCCATTCTAAATATGTAGCCAAAGATACGTAAGACGGTCATTCGCTCATTCGGACTTGCAAACCAAAGGCAGTTCCTACCTTTCTCGGTGAAGCGACAACACTCCGGCCGTTGCGTGCTGACGTCTCGATCGTTGGCGCAGAACTCTGCCGAATCACCCTCGTTTCACCGCTGGCGTAACTAAGCTTACCTCGGATTGTTTCACGAATGGACGAGAGCATGCTGCTGCTTTTTCGGGGCGTGATCGGCTTCGGACTCACTGACTGCGGCAACGGAGACGTTGAGCGCCGGTGACTAGCAGACTGCATATCATTAACACTCGGCCCTCTTTCTCCCCCTTCGTTGTAGTCGATAACACCGTGACACGAAGCCAGCGTGCGGAACTTTAACGGATCCGCATATCTGTCTCCTTGCACACCGTATGCCGATGCTGCGCAAACGCGGGAAACAGGTCCAGGCTCATAGTCCTCTAGAGAAAACGAGGAAGCGTCGCTCTCGTCATCCTCGTCACTTCCTAAAATCGCTTCAACCCCGTCTGGCGCACAGGAGGAGTTTGACCCGTCCACTTCGGTCCACCCGTCGGACGCTGAATACGACATCTTGCTAATCTTTGACAACAACAATTCCGTGGGCATGTTGTACCACGTAGTAGCGGGCAATGGAAAGGCACCGTTCGCGTCCGCTACAGCTTCCTGTTCGGATGGTGACAGGCTCGACTGGACCAATTGATCGACGGTTCGGAAGAATACTGCACATTGAAAACGCTGTGAGGACAAAAAGCTGTCAGAAACACGCACAAGGAGGAATTCACAGACATAGAGGTAGACTGACCGTTGCATGGAACAGGTCCACTGTACTTGCGGCCGCCGACTGATTCGCGTCCTCTATAGACGCACAAACACAATCAAGCTAATTCAACTCCACAAGATCTAGTAGAACCCAAGTCATCGAATGACACAAACAGCGACTTACCCAAGCGCAGCAACAACGTTGTCTCGACTTCCTGCAGCAATGCAGCGACTCTGTAAACATTCCGTTCCGCCAGCACTCGCTTTTCATGATCTTCAAGTCGACGCGAGTGCAGTTTCAGACTCGGCGCACGAAGCGTTTTCGACTGCGCTGCAAGTTTCTCCCACACGTGTATTTCCTTCTTAATGCGGTCATACTGCTCCAGTTTGGCGTACAGCGGATTCATGACGGTAAACCGAAACGAACGCTCCATGTTCTTGACATCTTCCAGATCAATCTCCTTCATGACCGATTTCAAGTCATCGCTACACCTCTTTTCGTCGCTTTCACTGACACGAGACCAACCACAAAAAGATTCCACGCACACACACATAAACAAAACACAACAACAGCATGTCAGCACATGACTAAACACCAAGTAACAAGTACGAAACCCCTCTCGCTCTCTCTCTCTCTCTCTTGTCTACCTGCAGGTTTCAAAGAACGTTTCCGTCACGGCCGCCAGCGACGCAAACGCAGCCTACCACCGACGTACCGACATGCGTCAGTAGTACCACAGTCAACAAAAACAGTGCGTGCAAACGCGACGCTACCTGGAACTGGTCCAGCATCTGACTCATCTCGCGCTCCAGTCGCTGCAGTGCTCGCTCGTGGTGATCAAAGTGCCACACTGCCGCCTCCAAGCGCGGCGCGTCCTCTCTCAGCACCGCCCGCCGCGCTGCCCCCTCCGCTGGCGTCTCCTTCCCGCCGCCCACGGGCGTGTAGCGGCCGATGGTCTTGCGCAGTCCTTGCAACATTCGACAACTCGCCTGCGCCCGCACTGCCTTCGACTGTCGCTACGTACGAAAGCCGCCGTCCCGTCGTCGTCGTCGTCGTGGTCAGCGCCGCGAGCGCTACGTGCGACTTGTGGTGACTGCAGGGAATTCCACCGGTGCCCGTGGCGCCCGCACGGTCTGGTGCGACGACCGTCTGACTGCCTTTTCTTTTTCGTCGTTGCTCTCTATTCCGGCGACATGTCGCAGTGGCCACAGCCCGTTCTCTTGAAACAGCTGGACAGGCCTAGCGGCTGGGGATGCGGTTCTCGGGTCACTTCGACATGAGACGCTTCAGGCGCAAGTCCCTCGTAACGTGCAGGCACGAGCCACTGGGCGCCGAGTCAAGTGGGACTTGCCACAAGGCCGCGTCTCCCCCGCCGCCGCTGCTGCAACTCGCGCACTCTGTCGAGCGGCTGGAGCGAAAACCACCTGTCACATTGGCCCTTCTTGGTGCGTCGCGAGGCCTTTGCGAGGTGGCTGTTTTCTGCGGCCGCGTGCGATGTAAAAAGGACTCATCAATCGAGTGCGGGTGGCGGTGTGCGTGCGTGTGCGTGTGTGTGTGTGTGTGGACAGGCGTCATGTATCTGTTGCACGTCGTCGGCACACAAACACCGTCGCAGCTACTTCCTTTCGCGCTGTACGCAACACAAAAGGGGTTTCATAGATGCAATGAGCGTTGCTGCTGTTGTTGACACTTTTTGCTGCTTTTGCTACTCATTCTGGTGCTCTTGCTGACAGGTGTCCTGGAAAAGTCGTGGCGAACAAAAGCATTGGCGCAGTCTTTGTTGCACCTTTCATCCACGTCGAGGAGCTACATCTGTACCAGAGCTTGTACGCCGCCCGACTTGAGATGATATATGAAGAGCGCAACGCGTGATTCCGTGCTGTACATCATCTTCCGTGGCTAACGTTGTTGTTGTCGTTGTCGTTGTTGTTGTTGTTGTGTTGTTGTTGACTGGCGATGGTAGAGCGTCGTTTCTTTGGAAAGGGTATCAGCTCGAGGGACGGCTTGGGAGCATTGGCTTCTGTGTGCTTTTGGTGTACCTGATCGTCGTATCGCAAGCACTCATTGTAGTTGGCGCGCATCTGATATCACGGGTTGGGAGTTCACGATGGCGATGTTGGCTGCGGCACAGTATTGATGTCGACCTTTGTTGTTGATTCAGGGAGCAGTGTACGAATGCTCCACGGGGCTCTCCGGTGTGTTGATAGCGATGAAGGTGAGCAGTCAGATGCAGAGCTCCATTCCATAGTGTGCTACACTCACTTGCTATGCTTTGCAGGCGATTTTGACCGTCGACTCGCCAACGTTCACGGAACTGCACAGCTTCATGGTGCCTACAAAATACGGTGCATGGCTGGAACTGCTTTTCACGTACTTCTTCGTGCCCAAGTTGCCATTATTGGCCCAAGCTGCTGGACTCACTTCAGGTGTGTGGTCGTGACCGCTGAATAGCTCTATCATGTGTCTCACTTGCTTGCTGGAGCTACGCCTTCAGGGTACATATACACAATGACCCCAGGTGCAGACGCGCTAATTGCTAGTGCATCACGCACGATTTGGCATGTGCTGGTTCGCATAGGGGTCGTCAAGCGACCACTTCGGTGGTGGCAAGTATGGCCGAGACTCATGAACACGATCCGACTACGGAAGCAGCAGCGAACAGCACGAAAAAAGAGTAGCATGGCTACAGAAGTGGTCGCAAAAGCACTTGTACTGTTACGCTGGAGCAGTGCTTGACTCGACGACTGATGCACGGCACATGTGCTGCTTCCTGACTCAAACGAGGTTTCGGAAGCTCTCGGGTTGGATAGTATACTGCGGGGTCTCGCCTCCGCCTCTGCTATGCTCTTCCAAGACAAACGTCACTACGCCACAATTGCGCGTCGTGGCCGACTTGGCTTCATGAGGCACATGACGAGGGAAAAACTCGCGACAGAAAGCACGGAGCCACAGCGAGTGTCCATACACGATGGCCACGTCGTTGGGCTGCTTAAAGAGCCACTGCGCAAACGTCAGTAGACGGTCACGTCCGCTGCCCAGCACCGCCTTGTTCCCGTGACTCTCGGCCACGTTAAACAACTCGTCGTGTCGCTTCTCTCCACGTGGCGCCTTCACAAGCACCTCCCGCGGCTGCACTGAGTGCGGCTGACTGATGGCCAGAGTATCCACGTTGCGGCCAATCTCCTGCAGACACGACAGCACGTGGATTCTCTCGCCAGGCACCTCGAGCCTCGGCGCCGATGCAATGCGCGCCGTGTCGATCGAGCGCCGCAAATTCGACGTGGCCACGACGCTGCCAGGCAACGGACAGCACAAGTAGTGCAGCCACGCGCTCTCGTCCGTCGGATGCGGCGAGTCACAGACTCCTTCGTCCACTGCCACCTCTCCTGTGCCTGGCACTGGTGCTGCTCGACCGCCCAGACGGCCTCCTTCGAGCGATTCGTCCCCCGCGTACTCCTTGAGCTGTTGTGCCTGGAAGCGACCGCGTCGACTCAGTGGGGAGTCGAGGAACACCGAGTCACCGGTGGGTAGCAGCAGCCACTCGCGCAGTACGGCACGCACGAGCCGCGCGAGCGCACGCAGATTGAAGCCCGAGTTGAACACGACGTTCCACTCGGACTCGGCGTGGCGGACAAAGACAATGCGTCGGGACTTTGTCACCAGCGCAGTCGGCTGCTCGAGTGCTGCGGCATCCACTGGTACTATCACTGGTGAAGGAACGGCTTCGGTCGTCGGTGCTGCGCTTGTTGACGGCGTCTGTTGTTGCAGCAGCCACTGCTTGTCGCTCGAGAAGAGCAAGTGCAGGAGCGCGATGCTGAAGAGCTGTAGCTTCCACGCAACGTGCACTGCCGCGTCGAGCAACGAGGGCCAGAGACCGAGCAACAAGAGGTGGCGACGGACGGTGCGATGCATGTGATGGACGTTGTGTTAACAATAGATGAGGAGCGCAGGTGTTTGTTGGAGCTGCATTTCTTTGGGCTGGACGTTTCAAGGAGTACCTAGAAAATCACACCGTGCGTGACGACTGCAGGAGGTTTGTCGTCAGATCGATGAGCTCGAGAGGACTTGCGATTGGATCAATTCTGGGAGGTACAGATGTAGCTTGACATGACGAACGACCCCATTCACTTTTGATTTATGCCGCTTTGGTAAAAGGGGTTCGCTCCCATGTCCGCTAACACTTTAGGTCCAAGCGGAGGCCGCGGTGTCAAAGCCACTGCAGCAATTACGAAGCGTGATCTATTGCTCGTCGCTTTAACGCTATGACGCAGAAGAAAGCCGTCTTCTGTAGATACTGCTATGGCACGGCCACCTCTCGGTCTCCTGGTCTTTCTAAGATTGAAGTGTTCAGTACAGGAGATACTACGAGCAGGCGACGCCGCACCATTCATTCCATCAGAGCTTCGAGTCTTTCCCTATCTATCAGGCAATCGCCAAACAACGTCAAGCTTTCACGACGATTGTGCAGCGTCGACCGCTTGCAGAGATTGACAAGTGATCGGAAGCTATCGTCGCGTGCACGCGTCGAATGCACCCGACAACTCTTCTGGGGATCAGGACACTCATCTCGAGAATCACCACATGTCCCTGCGCAGTAATCACACAGAAGTCAGGTGCCTGACAATCGCGATGCCGAAGCACGATCGGACCAAGACGGTGGGTGCTCGGAGGTTGTTAGCCACAGATTGCCTTCCACTCTGGTCGATAGAACGACGCGCAGTAACAGCGATCGATTGTAGCAACAGCGATCGACTGTCGCACTACCGCGGCTACGATTTGTGATACAGGATGTCGACAGTATCTTCGCTGTGTTGTGAGCGCATAGAGTCACCCGGAATGACCCAGATCGACGCAGCACGGCAAACGTACTCGCAGCTCGACAGAGCCCCTTCGACATGACTGCCCTACAATCACGACAGCACGAGCGTTGACACAACCACAAGTCAGGACCGAAACGTCCGTGCACAACGGTGTCGTAAATCGAGTTCATGTTGAGTTGTTGACAGAAATCGAGAATGCAGATGTAGATGTGAAAGGCACAGGCTGAAAGGATTTTGGGGTCTCTCATGACCGATATCAAGCAGAAGGTCAGTGTTTCGAGCAAGCAGCAACGACTTACATGAGGGTAAGTTTGTACTTCCGGTGCCCATGCGCACACGCAACAGGCACCTCGACGTGTCGCTTTTGACACTGTCAAACTGTTTTGGCGAGCACGGCATGCCTGACTTCACCGGGTCACGGACAATAGCGCAATCTTGAAGGAAGCGCCCCCTGTGGTGGTGGATAGAGTGGCTCTTGGACGACTCGTTCGCCCATCGAGAAGACCCGACCGCCGCACACAGCGCCTGTCGACGACACATGAGTGCTCTCAACAGCACACTTTCGTTGACGTAGATCCGGGCGATCGATTAGTGCTTGGCTCAGCTTGTGCGGCTCTTTTTTGACGATACAATGAGACGACACCGAATTTGCGATGCGATCGAAGTAGCTGTCGATCTCGTGGCGGTGCTACAGCTCCATTTCGACGCACTACAGCTATAACTTAATCGGAGCTGCTGCCTACCGAACCATTCGTGCTAGTAGACGGCATGGCTTTCACGGGCTTATTCGCCACCGTGGGAATGGCTGCATGATATGGATCCAGCCAAACGACCCGACAAAGCTGCAAATGGTCGAGAACGCTGAGATGCAGTTTGTGCACGATCGTCGAGACAGAAAGCACCTAAGACAATGTCTTGACCACTATGCGCAATACTGCACCTGCGCTTGGAACCGCGTATGAGTGTTCATGACCATCTAACTACTACCTGCGACTTTTGTAGCATGCGTTGCGTATGTTCATGTTCGCGAACAACTTGTTCCTCTCATTTGGGTCTACCACCACTTGCTACTACATAGCAGTTACCAAAGCCTTCACGAAATGCCCGAACACACACAAAGTCTGCGTGGCCAGCACGACGAAGGCTCGATGAGTAACAGCATTGCCGACGTAGATGACAAAAGCGAATTGCTTCGTCATCCTGCACGACACTTTTGTTCGGCCGAAGCTCAACCCATAATGAGGTGCATTCAAGATGCAGCAGCCTTGACAAAAGTATGGTCAGCAGCTCTACCAAGCGATCAACCCTTGTGACAAGGGCCTGCCCGACTTGCATTCGACATTCTTGCACCCTTCTTCCTCGTGCGGAATAAATCGCTACGTAAGTGCAAAGCGTGCATTCAAACGGATAGCGAGAGCAGCCTCTTGTCAGAACTTACGCTCACGTGCTTTCCACTTCATTCGTCTTCGGCAAACGCTACCAAATGCAGTCACAAGAAGCGGCGCCAACGACTTGTGTACGGATATGACGTCGACGCCGCGTGGACGTATCCGCATGGAGCCCCTTGCGCCCGATCAAAGCGGTCTCACTTTCTCTTCGCAATGACCAGCAAGCAAAGCCACCAGCAGCTCAACGGCATCAACACCGGCGTCAAAACGGCCCGTAACATTTCGCGCTCTCTGCATGCAGACGTGCAAAGGTCTGCGGCGAGGTTCCGACAGCTTACTGGGTGTTAGACCTTGAGGGTGATGTCTGTGTAAATGCGAAGAAGGTCGTCCACTGGCCCAGCTGGCAAGCTAGAAGCCATGCCGTAGATAGCACTGCCCCCCTCTGGTGATGGATTGGGGTCCTTCTTCACTTCGTTCACGGCGTCTTCCAGCGCATCCAAGAACTTCTGCGCTTTGCCAATCTGGCGAACGGTAACGCATAGGTGCACTGATGTCGGGTGCTGCAGCGGATTCAGGCTCCATCCGTGCTTGGCCATAGCGTCGCTAACCTTGAGCGCACTGACACCTGTGTCGCCAGCAAAACTCACCACCATTGCCTTCGGGTCGCCCAGAACGTGGATGCCATCAATGCGCTGGATGCCAGCCTTGATCGCATCGACGGTGTCCAAAATGCCCTTTGTCTTCTCAAGATACCCTTCATGCCCAAGGCGTACCATTGCAGCCCAAGCTGTAGCGCTCAGTGCTCCCGATCGGCTGCCCGCAAGTGTCGGCGTCGCATAAAGTCCGCCCGTCCAATCCGGGTAGGCAAAGTATTGGAATCGACGAATGTCTGCGTTCTTGTAAAGCACAACAGACGTTCCTTTCGAGCCATAGCCATACTTGTGCGTGTCGCACGACATGCTGGTCACGCCCGGCAACGAAAAGTCGAAAGCAGGAATATCCTGGCGCAGCTGACGAGCAAACGGTAACACGAATCCACCGAGGCAGCAGTCGACGTGGAGGCCGACGTCGTGCCGGACCGCAAGCTTCGACAGTGCTTCAATATCGTCAATAATGCCATGTGGGAAGTTGGGTGCACTGCTGTACAGCAATATCGTGTTCGCCGAGATGCTCCAGCGCACGGCATGAACATCAATCTTGAGCGTTTTCGGGTCCATTGGCACCTTGATCAGCCGGATGCCCAAGATGTCACACGCCTTGTCAATCGCCGCATGAGCAGTCACGCAAGCAATGATCTCGGGCTTCGTGATCCCGTGTTTGTGACGGTAGAACTCGCGGTGCGTCTTGGTCGCCAGGAATATGCTCTCCGTGCCGCCCGAGCTCAGCGAGCCACACACGTCTGCGTGGCCTCCGTTCATCAATCCTGCTGTCATGGCAATCACTTCGGCCTCAAACTTGGTCACCGCTGGCCACAGGTCGGCATGCAGTGGATTGGACACGCCAAAGAGCGCGTAGGCCTGGTTCAGCACGTCCAAGTGCGCCTTCTCGCCGTGGTAGACCGCGCCCGACACGAGTCCGTCGCGCCACTTGTCGTCGTCCGTGCCGGCCAGCTCCGCCATGAGCGCCAGCAGCTGGGCATCGTCCATCCCCTTGTCCGGCAGCGCATAGAGCTTCGCCATCTTATTGGCCAATCGGTCGTTCTTGCGGACCAATCGCTCGACGTCTTGTTCGAACTTCTTCATCTCGAGCGCCACGCGCGTCTTCACAAACGGCAGCTGTTTCATCGCACTAAGTACGAATCCACCCACGACATTGAGCACGTGCTTGCGCGACACGTAGCGCGCGCGGCGTCCCAAGTCGACAGCGGCCGCAACAGCCGCGACGAGTCCAATGCCGAGCAGCGAGTCACCGACCACAGCTTCCACGACCGGCGCGCGGCGCTGCGCTGCGGTCCAGTACGCCAACAGCAGCGACGACGACGACCACGGAGAGGGCGCTGCGAGGGCGACGCGGTAGCGGTAGTAGCCAAAGAGCACGACGAACGACGGCCAGAGCTTGAGGAGCGCGCGGTCCACGTTGAACAGCTGGCGGAGCGAGAGGTACAGCGCGAGGGCGGCCACGGCGTAGGGCAGCGCATCGTCCCAGAGACTCGACACGTTGTGGACGTCGGACGGGTGCGACATGTTTGTCGCCAATGCCAAAGTGGACGTGGAGAAAGACAGGGGCGACGGTTGTTGATGGGTGAGTGGCTCGTTGTGTTGCTCGATGGCAGTTGTGTTGCTCGTTGCTCGATGGCTGTTGTGTTGCTCGTTGCTCGTTGCTCTTGGTTGCCGTTGCTCGTGTCTTGCTCGTTGCGTTGCTCGTATCATGTCGCATGGCTTGTGAAGCGAGGGCCTCTAGCGGGGGCCGCCTGCGACGGTCGATGCGGAGTTGTAGTAGCTGATACCCTCTCGAAATCACTACATAGGCTGGGCAGAGAGGATGCAAGTTAATAGTCGAGCATTCGATTTTGATTCATACTCTCTCTCTCGGTTCGCTGGCAAATGCTCTGAGCTGCAGGGCGAGCGGGTAATATGCGGTTAGACAGGATCAGACGGGCCGCGGCTCGACCAATCTGCAAAAGGTACGCACCAAAACGTTCGCGAAAATGCTGGAAAAAGAAAACGAATCGACATTTCGACGCTGTTTTTTTCGGTACCAATGGCAAACACACATGTAATTGATTCCTTTTCCACTTTGTAAACGTTCATCGTAACATGGTCGGACCAAACTATCGGCGTCGCGCACGCGGCCACTTTGACTCGGGTCGTCATGATTATGCGGTTGCATTGATGCTCATGCTCGTGCGTCAAGTGCAACAGCTGGATCGAAAACCGCCCGCCACACTTGGACTGATGGGTAAGTGCAAACGAAAGTAATTGATCTGTACAACTTTGTTGCCGTCGTACTGCTGACACGACCTCTTGTGGTGTGTGTAGCACTGATGTACAGCCTTCACTTTCTACAGACCATCACGCCCGAGCTCGTTGTTCCGTACTTTCTGCAAGTAACTTGCTGTGGTATCTGAAGGGCGGGAGGTGGACACATGAACAAGATTGACCAGATTGCTTTCTGAATGTGCTGCAGCTGTCCCGATCGAATTCTATACAAGTTTGAGCTCATGCGGATCGTCGCCTCGGGTCTCATCCACGTAGATGAATGGCACTTGTACCACAACATGTAAGCTTTCGTCCATATGTGCACGTGTACGGCTGGCTGGCTGGACCAAACCTCCATTGACCTTTTCTCTTTGTGTTGTTCAGGATATCATTTCTTTGGAAAGGGTACAATCTGGAGCACAAGTTGGGAAGCGTGCGTTTCTTGCTGACCGTTGGTCTCTTGCTCGTCCTGAGTCATACTCTCGTAGTCGTCGTAGCACTCGTTCTTGCTACATGCTTTCAGATACCGGTTCGTGCAACGCAAACGGTACTTGTTGAGTACGTGCAAGTTCGATGCGTTCTCACTCTTTAGTCGTTTTGCTTTGTAGGACCCTTTGCACCAGTGTAGTGTGGGCTTCTCGGGCGTCCTTTTCGCACTAAAAGTAAGTGAAGGCAAGTGTCGAGTAGTTGCGGGTGTATCATCTCGAAGGCTCATGGACAATGATTGCGGTGGATCGCTTGTGCAGGTTCTTTTGAACCACGATTCCCCAGCGTTTTCATTCGTGCACGGGTTCCGAGTGCCTACGAAATACGCAGCATGGCTAGAACTGGTGGTAATCTACCTCCTCGTACCGCAAAGTTCGTTCGTGGGCCATATGTGTGGCATCCTAGCTGGTATGGTGTGCGGACAGAAAGTAGGGATTCATCATGACACCCAGATACTTTATGAGTCTAACTTCCTGGCAATGTCCGCTTCAACAGGATACATGTGCGTTAGTTTCCCATCGATGCGATCGACTATGATCGTCGGGAGTCGCTGGACCAATCGATGTCTGCGGAAGCTAATGGAGCGGATCACCCTCCGACGAAACATGGGCACAAGAAGTGCACCGCAACGTGCTTCGCGTGGATCGTCCACCTCATCGTTCGAGACGGACGAAGAGTTGGCACAGCGACTTCAAGAAGAAGAATATCGGTCTTGGCAAGCTCCACGATGGCAACCTGAACAACGTGATCATGGACACATTGACGCAAGCGAGCTTCGACGTCGACGTTTGGCTCGATTTGCAAGTGGCCAAAGATGAAGTCACAATGTTGCAGCTCGAGTGAGCTGTCATCGGCGGCAAATGAAACTAGCGAGCATTGTGTTAATCGCGAGTGCCCTAGTGGCGACGCGCACGATTGGTAGCAAAAGCACGTCGACATCGTGTAATGCCCAACAACGACTCGTACTCCATATCATGCTCGTCGTTTGGTATGCAAACTAGCTCCTCTGAAACGGCGCCGCAGATTGACAAAAGCTGGAAACGTGTTGCTGCACACCATGATGCCAGTCGAGAAGAATGCAACTAATAATGCACGAGGTACGTGCTGTACTACAAAACGAAAGAGACCGCGCGTAGAATCACAAGACTGAGCGCAGCACATTGTTTTTCGCGGCAACGTTGTCTGTAGCTTCTATTGTATGATGCAGCAACAATAGGACTTCTTGCGCCGCCACTTTCGCGCCAGCGTTGTCGACTTGACCTGCTCGTCCGTATTCAATGATGTACTCGGACTGATCGCAGTGGCATGAAGACAGGAATCAATCATCTGCTACCGAGGCGCGCGAAATAATTCGCAGGAACATTCTCACCTGGGCGAAGCTCGCATCCATCAATGAGACACTCGCAGCAGTGGATCCACTAGCTGGAAGAAAACAGCAGCTCCGGCGGCACGCGCATGCGACAGAAATCTGCACCTTCCCCCGAGGTGATGATGATGATGAGGATTGAAGGGACCAGCTTTGACACGCTTCGCTACACCCCTCTCCTACTGTCTGGATCGCACGTCGGGACGCCGTAATCCTTTACTCGGCTTGAGTTATCAGCAACTTTTGTCGGCAGCGTCGACTCGATCGGCTACAGTGGCCCATGCTGCGTGCCACAACACTCTGCGTTCGACGCGGTATCGATCGCGTGCCCTATCCTCCCGATCCGACTGTATCATCACTAGTGCCTTTTTGCCGCTGAGGCGCTTGGCGCCGTCGACTCTCGTAGCAGTACCGAACGATGGGTTGCGAGTAAGTTGTGCGCTTTAGCACGTCTACAATGATGACTCTATTCTCATTTGCTCGCTATCGCGTTTCGCTGCACATCCCTCGATGCAGTCGAAGCCCTCCGGCCAGGGACATGCTGCTGTTGTCGCATCTTCCATTTGCGACACACTGTATCTTCACTGCCCGCTCAATTTTCTGTGGGTGAGTGGGTGCTAGTGGTAGCTGCCAGCACCTCACTGCAACGAGGTAATGTCACGCGAACCTCACAGCATACGGCATACAAAAGTAGAGCGCTGCTGCTCGGACTTTCGTAGCTTGTGCAGCCTCTGTCAAGAGAGGCACTCGTAGTCGCACAGAGACTCCTCGTTCTCGAGCCACGACGATCACTGTCTCTGACCTCTAGAGCCGATCAGCGCTTGTCAGCCTGTCGTAGACAGGACTCGTTTGCAATGCTACCAAATGTTTCCTGGCTACTTGCAGAAGAGATACGTCCATCTTTGGGATTGTGCTTTCAGGCAATGTACGACGCGCATGGAGTTTGCGCGTGGACCGCTTGCGGCGTTTAAAGCAACATGCGTTGGAAGCGCGTGTGCTGCACGCCCACCCTATCTTGTCTTACCGAGCTCTGCTCTCAGCTCAATGCTTTGCTTCAAATGTAACGACCGTGCAAAGCCCTCAGTCGCGTTAGAGCACGTAAGAGTAGCGCGTCTGCGTCAAAGACTGCTCTGCTGTCCATTCGGAACGTGGCGTTCGTGACACCTGCCTCTACGTCCGTGATCCAACTCGGTCGGACGAATACCTACAGCTACTCAACTAACTGCAGCACGCACGTTTCGTTTACCGCTATCGACAGTACAGACGCAGTCTCGTCACCTTCTTGCTCTCCGCTAGAGAGAGCACAAGGAGAAACTGACGCGCGTCGGCTAAAGCTACTAGGGCTGACTTCACACAACATCTGCGGAGCACCAGTCAGGTGCCCTTGACGTTGCGTTAGCGACGGCAGTCGTCAGTGCGACTGTCGTCTGGCTCCAAAAGCTATCGATCGGATTGAACGGAGACGCTTCCTGCAGTAATGATTCGGTTGCGCCGGACGCAACGACGTCAGCGGCGTGCGTGTTTCGCGGCCACAGAGCTACTACGTAGCTAGTCAGTCTATCACTATACGGTCTGTACGCACATAATACGGATAGGTGTCGTCGGACATTCGGATCCAAGGAGGCGAACACGCCTTCTTTATACGTGTGTGCGCGCAAAGATGATAAAGGAAGGGGTGGTTTTGTGTGTGGGGTGAAGCATACCCTGTGTGGGAGGGCCTCTGGCCTTGAGAAAAGCGCGTGTGAAGGTGGGTGTGTGGGTGTGTTTGTGGGGGTGGTGTCAAGTACGTCCATTATTATGATAACTAACGACTGATAAGTGTGACAAGAAGTACGGCCCGGGTATCGGGTCGACAACTAAAGGGCTCCGTAGAGCCAGGGGCGACGGCAACGAGGTCAGAGACCCTCCTACCGAAGCCAACTACGAGTCAATCATGACCGCTGGCGCGACCAAGTAGACTGGGGACATGCGTACCGCCGGAGCGGCAGCACGTACAACGCGGGTATGCTGCCATATAAGGCAACAAACCCCTTTAGGACCGCTTGCGCGGCCCCCGACGTGGAGTGCGAACACCGAAGTGACTGCGTGGCGTGGAGAACGCCAACCCGCCGTATATCTCTCCGAGGAGCTCAACCATCTGCGATGGTGGCCCCCTTCAGCCGCTTGCGCGGCCCCTTGACGTGGAGTGTGCGCTCGCCGCAGCGGCGACACGTGGCGCGGGGTACGCCTCCAGTCCGTAAAACACCCCTGCTAGGGCCGCTTGCGCGACCCGTCGGTCTCCTACGCCCACACCCGCGACTGCGAGTGCAGCGTGCGCGCGTCAGATCTTCGACCACGTCGGCTCCCCAAGGGGAGGATTCCCTCCGACGTGACGGCCCCGAAGGGAAAAAGACTGGCTTGAGCTGAACCGTGAAAATTTGGGAATGCGCGTGCGTGCCGTAGGTGTGGCAACTACGGGCGATAGCTTCACTTGCCTCAGGAACATGCTGAGAAGACGGGCAAGTGCTGAGGCACAAATCTCATGTGCATCAACTCGCTCGTCTCTTCATTGCCAGCCATTTCCGCCCCGATTCTCCCTCACTATTTGAAGACGACGCTATTGTGATGTGAAGCAGACTGATCATACCGGCTTTCAATGGCAGCTGCCTCTCGGTCACCGCTTCTTTTACACCCTCACCTGGTCTGCCGGCCGCACATCTGGTGGCCGCGCGCGAGCATGTCCGAACCATAACCCCACCCACGTGAGCTCGCTGGAGCGTTCCCGCCGAAGTGGTCAGTGGCTGCCCATGATGGGACGCGGAGGCGTCGACCGACGTGAGCTGACTGCGGACACACAAGAACGGGATCGGACATTTGGTTGTTAGCTTACACTGACTTGTGGACGGGCGTGTGCATGCGCTTCGCGGCTCTGGTTCGAGGAAGTGTGTGTGTGTGCCATTGCACTATGCAGCAATCGGCATGTCAAGCATCGACGGGTGGAGGAAGCAAATTGTCCATAAATCGATCGCGTGCTGAACTACCATCTCAACGTCTTGTCCGTGGGCGTGAACGAGAGCGCAGAACCGATCGGGTCAAAAACGGATGTTTGTGCGTAACTCCACCGGATCTGCTCTGGTTGACGTGCGATACACTCGAACTGCGGAGGCGAACGAAGCATCAACACGACTTGTGTACACGATGTCGTATGATTCACAGTGTTGACCACTGACACACGTCGACAGGGCCAAGAAATGCTCCCACCGTGAGACCGAGTGGCGACGCAGGCGTTCGGCCTTAAGGTTTCCAGGTTCAGCTGTATCGTTCAGATCAGCAAATGGCTCTCACGCACGTGCACAAAGCAACGCGCAGACGCACTGGCCCGCGCGTGCTGGGACTCAGAACTGCATCAAGATGCTGAACGGCACGGACATCGCAATTGACGCACGACTTTGGCAGAAAAGGACGTGCGGTCTTCAGCAAGCGAGCAAGTGTGCTAGCTCGGGCTTTACGAGTCGTAAGGTACGTCTAAAGCTCACAGATCTGCCAGAGGCGCAAGCTGCCTGATTTCGGCTTTGAACCATCCGGACGGTGTCGCGTATGCCCTTGAGCGAGGAAATTTCTTCCCAGTTATTTGATCTTTGATCTGGGATCAGTTCAATGACCACTGATCCCGATATGCTCCATCTCGGAAGAGCGCAGGAACGTTCTTTTGACGGAAAGAGCTTAGGGTCGAACTCCTAGAGGAAAAACAGGTCAGTAGCTCTTTTTTTCCTGTCTTCTGTAATCCGTTCGGATGATGGCTTGCCCCGCTGCATCCATTGTCAGACAGAAGAACACAATGCACGTGAGCTGGCGGCCGCGTTGATACGTACACCTTCGTCAGTCATCAGCGTAAGTGTGAGCAACTGCCCTGTCTCAGCATCGGTCACGCGTGATAAGCAATCGACGTCCATGCGAGCACTTTTCGATCGACGCGTTCGCAATGAACGCCTGAGCTTTTCTAAGAACCTGTTGAGCACGTAAGCGACTGATTGAATGCACCCAGGCTGTCTCGGATTTTGATTGCCACGTAACAAAGTTCGGACCACGCTCTCCCCTTGCCCGGCTCCTCACCGAGCCGACCTTTGGCCCACTAGTCCACACCGGCTGACGGACCAACGTCCGAAAACGTCCGGCAGCCGATGTTATCAAGGTAGCGTTCCCACACTTCTTTACCATGGCGCCGCTCTATGATGCGTCATTGAATAGCTAGTGTACCAGCTATATGCCTTGGTGACTCGGTGTCTAAGGGAATGCAGATTGTTGCATTTGCCAGCTATGAAGCCTCTGGCGTCGTGCCAACTGCACTTTGCTTGGCAAGCTCTAGCTTTCCATATGTTCCCTCCTTTGCATAAAGCACGACCTTTGACAGCGCTAGCAAAGATGATTGTACACGGCCTGTTGCCATCGAAGCTTTGCAAGTCGTAACGTCCGAGTGGAAAGCAATAGGGCCAGCGTCGTTGATCCACGGTTCAGGTAGAAGCGTCCGTGCTGCATTGTATCCTCCAGATGAATACGCGTCGTTCAGCTCCATTGATTTCCTCGTCTACATATCGTTGAGGATGAGTCACACACTCGCGCACTAACACTTACTGCTTTTCTCGCACTGTAAAACGTCGCACCCCATCGGTCGTTGTTTCTTTGAGTTGTGGCTCAAGTCGAAGCGGGTGCGCCTTGGAAAGGCATCATCGACATCGGTTCGGACTTCCGTAAAGCTGTAAGAAGAATGATGACCTCCTGTGTGTCGCTAGCTCATGCTCATAAGTGCGACACAGATCGATGTTGGCCGTCGTTCTCGATCGCGAAGTTGCGGACGTGGGCAGAGTTCGAGATCTTGTCTTTGTGTGGCGCATGGACGTACGATCGGAACGGTCCAGAGACATGTAGCATCGAACTCGAATCAGGAGGAACACTTACTTACATTACTGGCGTCCAAGTGATCAATCTATCTCCAAACCGTCTGCAACGTCGAAACGTGAGTGCCAACCGCATCGCACGCTAGCTTTTATCGGGCAGAAGGATAGCAAGACACGTCGAAACTATCTACTTTGCAGACATCTTCGAACACGTTGTAGACCGTAACGTACCAAAGTCAACTAAACAGCGACGTCAGTGTCGACAGCGACTCGGCGATTGCCTCACCACATGCAGCAACGCGCGTCCAGGCACCGGTGATCCTATCCCAACTAATACAACAACTGAGTGCACCGCCCGTTGCAGTGAAGGGCAATCGTCCAAGCGATATCGCGGATGCTCGAGACAGAGCTCCATCCACTTCAGCTTTGATGAGAGAGAAACAATGGCCGAAAGTAGCTGCTCGCAACGAGGGGCTGACGCCGAGGGGGACATGGACTGGACTGTGAAATATTCGAGACTCGCTTTGTGGGGGTAGAGAAGAAGCCGTTTGAGCGCACAGCGTCAACCCGCTGCCGTTCGTTGTGGGCCCCAGAGGCCGTTCTCTGGCATCGGACCAGGAGCGCTCATGTTTAGGTGTATCGGCGTACAGTCAGCGCGCGTGCGTCTAGCCGGGCCCAGATGCCCTATCCACCGTGGAGAAACATGCACAAACCTCCCCGACTGGGCGGACGATGTGACGGGCCAGCACAGCTGGGAGGACTGCCTTGCCTGGACCAGTCTTACCAGGTCAAGGCGAAGAAACTTCTGGCGTCTGCGTCGTGCAGCGCGCGAACAGGAGAGGGAGCAACCGACAGAAAGACACGTCGTGCAGGGCGACGCAAAGTGCCAGAGACCACACGTTGCACCGAGGCACGAACACGTCGTTTCTGCTCGTGTGTATCCACGTTCGAGTCGCCGCCCTGTTCGCTGCGCGCTGGGCCCGGTCCTGCGCCGAGGCCTCGCTCAGGCCGGACGTGCTACGGCCACTTGGTTGACGACGTGCCGGAGGGGCGCGTCAGGGACGAGTCAAGACGGCTCCTTTGGATTGTTTGCAGTAGTGACTAGCCTCGCGTGCAGGCATCGTTTCGATCTGGCCCAATGCACCACGAGCTTTCGGTATCGGCCACGCATGCCGACTGCAGAGTCGCCTACTGCAACGTCTCGAGTCAACACGGAGAAGACCGATGCAGGTCATGGTAGGAACTGCACTCCGCCTCGGGTCGATGCAGCCAGCCCGCGATCTTTGAGTTGCCACGAGCGCTGGCTAAACCGACCGTCTGCTCCTGTTGTGCTGCTACGCGGAGTAGCCGTTTCGCCCTTCCCCCTGCAAGCTCAACTGCAACGCTTACAAGAGTAGTACCCCATGCAGCAGCAGCAGCAGCAGCAGCAGCAGTTTCCTCGGCCACAGAACCGGCGCCAATCAAAGACGTCTCGGTCAACGCCACGCGTGCGTGTGCACCTCTTCGATCGCTGTCTACGTCCTCCTCCTGTGTGTCGTCGGTGCGAGCGCGTGGGCGGCAGCTTTTTTCTCGACCGTGTCGTCGTTCCCCGCGTTCGGCCAAGTTGTCTGGTTGCCAGCAGATGCGCAGAGTTAGGGGAGTTGCAACCACCAGACGGCCCAGCAGCAGACCGGACGACATGGGAAACAACGTGTGGCGCGACCGACGAGAGCGCTCCATCATGGAGCGCGCCCGGCGAGACAACCGCCTCCCGTCGTTGCGACCCGCACGAGAGGGGCTGTCCGTCCGACAAACAATCCCCCACCCACACCCACACACGGCGCACGTCAGCCGGCATCACGGTCGGCTGTACCCGCCCACGTCGCTCTTCTTGGCGTGCACGTGGGCAAGCGCTTTGGCAATGCCGGCCGACCTCGCCCCGCACATTTGGTCGGCCACCCACCCATCCACCCACATCCCCCCGCACTGGTCGCCCCAGATCCCGGGCGCGCATGTCTCGCCACGCCCTCAACCAGCAGTCTTCTCTTGCTTGGCGAGAGCCCCCCCCCCCACCCCCCACTCGTCGCCTGTCTGTGCGCAACATGGGGACTTGTACGCCGCCGTGCCAGCTGGTCGCTGGTCGCTCGCGGGACCTGATAAGAAGCGTGCGACACGCGGCGCTTCGGTCGCTACGAGGCGCGCGCCGTGCCCGCCGACCCGTTTCTCCCCCGGCGCCCAGCTTTTCGGCTTGAATCTCGCCGCCATGCCCATCCCCAGTCGCCTGCGCGGCCCGGCAGTGTCCTATCCCCCGACCGTCACGTCGCACGCCACGGGCTCTTTTGGCCCTCGTGCGCGCAACGCGCCACCTGGCGCCGGACTGACTCGTTCGGGCGAAACCTAATTCCGCACTGCTGGTGCTGCCGCCCAGACGACAACGCCCGCCGCGCGCGCGATTTGACGCGCCATTCTCCATTCGCTCGCGTCCAGCGCAAGTGCGGCCGTTTGTTCACAGTCGTGCGCTCCCAGCGGCCACTTTTGCTTCTGCTTGTTCGCTCGCTCGCCCCTCCCCATCGCGTCCGACGTGTCGGTACTTGTCGAGAGCGACTGATCGATCGATCGACGGACAGCCAGTCCGCCCGCGACGACACGAAGACACGATCATGGCCGCCCGAGCCGTGAAGCTCGCGATCCAGACGGCGCTGCTCGTGCAGGCGCTGCACGGCAGCAGCAGCACCACGCAGACGTCTGTCTCGGCCCGGGGCACGGCTGTGAGTGGGAACTTTGAGTCCATTCAGCCGCCGCGTCCACGGGAAGCCCCGGGTCGGGTCCACTCTACCGACGACAACGACGACAGTGTCGTCGAGTCGCGCGGCATCTTTGATGGCTTTAGTCCGAACCCTGCGGACTACAAGGAGTCGGATTTCAAGACCACGACGCCCATTCCCGGCACGGAGCCGCGACCGCCAACGGCCGAGATCCTCGCGGGGCTGGGCAGCGGACTGAGTGCTTTGATTCCCGACAATATGAAAAAGGCCGTCATGGAAGACGCCTCGTTGTCTGCGTCGGGCAGCGACGAAGAGGAACCCGCGCCGAAGAAAGCCAAGAAGAACAAGAAGGCTGTTTCGTCGGCGAACTCGGGGAGCTCGGAGGCTCTGGACGAAGAAGAGAGCGAGGCGGGCAGCAACGAAGAGGAACCCACGCCGAAGAAGACCAAGAAGAACAAGAAGGCTGTTTTGGCGGCGGACACGGGGGACTCGGAGGCTTTGGACGAAGAGAGCGAGGCGGGTAGCAACGAAGAGGAACCCACGCCGAAGAAGGCGAAGAAGGCCAAGAAGGCCGTCTCGGCGGCGGACTTGGGGAGCTCGGGGGGTTCAGACGAAGAGATGGAAGGCTTTGCTGATTTTTTCGAGGATTATGGTGACGACGAAGGAAGCACCGATGAGTCTGGTTCCGAAGGCTTGGACAGCTTGATGCTTGGAGCTGGCAGCGGCGCCGACATCCTGAGTATGTTTGGCGGCAAAGGTGTGGAGAAGGATCTTGATGAGGATGCATTCATGTCAGCTGTCGGTGGCAAGCTGGGCGGCTTGGCCGGCTTGGGTGGCTTGGGTGGTGGGGGAATGTCCATGTTTGAAGAAGACCCGACGAAACCGCAGCACAAAAAGATTGACGATGGTGACATTATTCTCGGAGAGGTCTACGGCAGCAAAGAACATGGTCGTGCGTTCTCGGATATCAACAACATCAAGTTTGGGCAGATGATTTTGAACATCACGCTTCGCGGAAACAAGCGCCTGGACAAAATTGAACTCGCAGTGATGACCCGGGATGTTGTAGGCAACCTGGTGCACGGCGGCGATGGCGGCGGCGCTGCTCACCTTGCGCCCGAATTGGGCGACATCATCACGGAAGTCGAGGTTCATTGGGGCAAGAAGGATGGCAAGACGAGAATTTTTTACATGATGATGGTCACAAGTGGAGGCAAGACAATATCTGCTGGCACGAAAACGCCGGACCACGCCACGTTGAAGGCGCCACCCGACTTTCAATTTGCCGGGTTCCATGGACGTGCTAGTGGTGACGGTATCTTTGGCGTTGGTGCCATCTACACGAGGACTGGAGCGCAGGATTTGGCTGTCACGGACATCATGGAGGTTCCGGATAAAGGAACTTCGGACATCTACAACTACGACCTAACCATTCGCAACTGGGTCGGCCCTGCTCAAGCTGCCGCAGACAGCGCTTGCTACCAAGTACGACAAGGAATGAGCAGTATGAACACGTGTCCCACCGGTTACAAGAAGGATAAGAAAGAATGCGTTGCACAGTGCCCGCTCGGGTACCCGGTTGAGTGCTGGAGGGAATGCATTCCTCAAAACGCCGATTGTATGCAAGAGATCCTCTCCAAGGCCGTATCGGTGGCTGCAGCAGCGCTGAGTCTTGCTTCACTCGGCACGTTTGGCACTCTTTTCACCACTTACAAGACCATGAGTTTTGTGATTAGGTGCGCCGTCGGTATCATGAACTCTGTCCGAAACCTCATGTTCTACCTGCGGTTCCGAGTCACTACGGTTCCACGTACCGAGATCGAGATCCTCATGGACAAGGCCTTTATGCTGCAAATTGTTATTATGGACCTGCCGATGGCAATTGCCATGTGCTTGGGGGCTCCCATTCCCCCTTCGCTGCAATTTTCGGTCATGATTTTGACCGTGGTGTCTGTCATCGTGATGATGGTGGTCATGATCGGCGAAGCCCTTTTTGCTTCGAAGAACAACATTTTGCTGATGCTGCGTGAATCGGGTGCGATGAACAAGAGTCTCAAGGCTAACACGTTGGAGCTGAAAGATTTCATCAACCCCGACAACGCTACCTGTGGCCAGGAGATGCGGATCCTTACGAATCGCGTGATAAGCAAGGTTCACGAGGTCCGTAACAAAACAAAGGGGGCGGCTCCAAATGATGTTCGTGTCGTGGTGAGCAAGTCTCCTATTATTTTGCGGGACGTCCCTGTGATCACGAACCACTGCATGGGTGAAATCTGGGAGAACAAGACTGCTCTTTCGTCGTACAAAACGCGACACTTGATTCGCAAGACGCTAGGTGTTATCATCAACCAGCTGATAACTGACGGCACGACGGACATGGGCGAGAAAGTGGCCAAGCAGGAGAAGACGCTCGAGTACGCCAACGTTGGTTTGTTCGTATTGTCCATGTTTGACCCTACTGGTATTGCGTGGATGCTCCAAGATTTTGTGCAGCCTGTTTGCGGGCCTACAGAGTACGTCGGCGAGATCGATGACGGCCCGTTGAGTGAAGCACTGGGTTTGAATACCGTCGGCGAGGCATTTACGGGCAGTTATGGTGTCTGGAAGAAGAAAGGCAATGGCTCCGTCACGATTTTATTTGAGAGTACTGACAAGTACAACGTGGACGTTGTTGTCCGCGTTGCTGGCACCAAGGTTGATCAAGTTGCGGTGCCAGCACATGGCAAAGCCACGTGGACAGCTCACGTCAAGCAGCTGCAAGACAAGACAATTTACTTGGACCGCTGGCGTCCCGGTTGGTTTGGACTTCCTGGGAAGGGTGGTGGCTCACTGCTCTTGTGGGTTCCGCGGTCGTCAGAGGGGGGCTTCCTTGTTATGCATGCCCGTCTAAACGCAAGCTAGGCGGATTAACACCATCATCTAGCGCTGGAACACTTGTCAGAAGTCAGGATGTGGTCGTTCACATGTTTAAAGGAAATGCATTAGAAACTACTTGAGCACCTGCGTTGAGGCTGTGCATCACATGTGTCACGTCTTCCCTTTACCCGTCAAGTTCTTCTGCATGTGTGTGACGCCGATGACTGCTTGAGCCGGAGGTTGCCACCCATCCTGCTCCATTGCACTCAGTTGAGAAGCTCCAAAGTCGAGCAAAGAGCCGCTTCCACGATCATGAGATGCGGAACGTTCTCAGCCGAATACGACTCAGCGCCAACAACATGGCACGGCATGGCTTCGTCCATCTTTACTTGAAGCCTCCTGCCGATACGCAGCAGGACTTCCTGGATACCATCCTCGCAAGCTTCGGAACGAATCCCTGTTTCGTTGTCCTTATCAAAAGTAAGCAACGCATGAGTTGCAAGCTCCACGTTGCTACGAGTCCATCTCACTTGACCAACCTTGTCGCGTATGTACAGAAATCGCACGAGACTCATGGAACTTGCGAGCAGATCAGCTTGGAACACAAGGTCGCGCTCTGCTGCTTGACGCAGCACATCGCAAAGCAGCAAGTAGATTGCTGCTGTCTTGAACGCTGTGCAGCAAACATGAAACCAAGGCAAAGCCGTTCAGGTTCGCTGTTAGCAAAGTGGGGTCCTTGCAATTGGACGTACGCGACGATGGACTCGCACGGGTCGACGACCACGTCTCGACTGCATTCTCGCGGACAATATCAAGCAGCGCGGCCGAAGCGTTGCCATACGGACACGTGAGCAGCAGACCACGCAATAGCCAAAACCTGATACCCATCAGGGAAGAGCGGTGACATCCAGCAACCACAAACATGAAGTAGAGGGTCCTTTCCAACAATGTTAGCGCATTGCGTACCGATCATTGACGGCGAGTTTGTTGATCAGCTCCTTTACGACCATTAGCGCGGCTGATCGATCTTTGGCCTCAAGAAACGATACCATTGCGTTTATCGTGACCTGGATCAAAGGAGACATCCAATCTCGATTGAAAAAAGCTGCAAGACAGCAAGACAGCACAGTGAGCAACCACTTGCGGCACTGTGTGCTTCCAACTATCGCGTACATGCAGCTTGGTCCCGGAACGACTGCGCCGTGCCTCGCGCAGATTCGCCTCCATTCTCAACCATGACGGACAGCTTTTCCCGACGGCTCAGTTTGCCTGCCACTCGCAGCAGCTCCAGTCCACGACTGCGATCCTACCACGCACACATACACACACAGCAATCAAGCCACCTCTCATTGAACACTCGACGATTCGCGCGTTGTACCTGGTGTGTCTCCGACTGCATCATGTCTTGGGCGTACGCCGCCACGTGAAAAAGCCACGACAACGGCGACACGATCACCGAGAGCGCATTTTCTCTGCGCTGGTCATCCACCAGCAGCGCGTACACGAAGTTGCTGATTCCATGGCGCGACCACGCCGCAAACGCGTGTGCTTGCCCTGACGGCTGCAAGAAGTAGCGAAATTTTGTCAAGCCCCACGTACGTGCCACTTGCTCGCTTATCCAGCGTGCGTCTTCCAGCGCAAACGCATTCGTTGTCGCCTCGTCTTCGTTTATGAAACCACCTTCCGACTCGGTGTCGCTGCTTTCGAGCGACGACGGCAGTACTGCCCGACAGCAAGCGGCGAGCTCTTCTCGGAACCGAAGCGTCGCGAAGAGCACGTACACGTCGATGCCACATTGTAAGATATTCGCCACCACTCGTGCCGTCACCTCACTGGCTCTTGCAGTGCTCGCAACGGCGGCAAGCAAGTGCAACAAAGCAGCCACGAGCACGGCCCGTTGCTTCCAGCCTTCTTCTTGGTCGTCCCTGTCGTCCTTGTCGTCGTTGTTGTTGTTGTCTCGTGCCCACACTTGATCCATTGAAGCGGTCGAAGGAGGGATCAACGGCTCGAGAAAGCACAGACAGAGCGTAATGCCTTCGACTGTTGAAAGCGGTTGTGCGCGACACTGGAGGCGCTGGTCGGTCTCCTGTGGACCACTGGCCACCAACTCGAACACGCGCCGCAGCACAACTGAACACGCGTCTTCGAGGAGCCGCCAGCGGTTGCGACGGATGTCCCTTAGCGCTATGTGCATTGATCACACACACACAACACAACACAACACAACACAACACAACACAACACAACACAACATCGAACGTCAATGCTACTACACTGACGATTGCGACACGAGAGAGATGAGCGACAAGTTGGCACAACGCCCTGTCAAGGAGCAGTCGTAGCGTGCCACAGTATCGTATACTGTTGGAACAGCAGATGCGCATGTACCGTCATGAAGAACGGCACATTGCGTGCGCACGTCTACTTCAGTTGTTGTTCCTCTGTCGACGTGAAAGTCCGCCAGTGCTGTCAAGAGCTCTTCTTTGCCCATACCACTGGACGACGTGCGCTGTCTCTGTTCAGCCAATCGTGGCCCTGCGTTACGTCGGACTCGAACGGGCCATACTATTGCACTTGTTCCACTTGGCTACACAAACGTCACCGACTCGTACAGAGCCGCAGCGAAGGAGCGCAGACGTCTGTGCTCCTTAGCTACAGTAAGTCGAGTCACACGTGTGCTGACGGTACGAGTCAAACAAGACAGCTCACGTCTTTGGCTGGTGTCGCAACTGTTAACATCGGCTCGAGGGAAGAAATCTCGTGAAGGTTTTTGTAATGGTGGAAATTACGAAGAAAGGTCCGAGTATTTTTCGTATCCATATGATTGACTATTACTGAAGAACCTGTTGGATCGCATTGAAATCTCGACATGAACAGTGCGCGAAGAGAGCGCTTCTTTACAGGCTTGGAGGAGGACTGAACATCAGGCTGTACGTCGACGAATGCGAGGAAAGCTTTCGATAATGTGTATTGCATCGACACTGCTGCGTGCAGCGAATTACTCTAAGCGTATGGAGGAGGAGTCTTGGTGGCATAAGGCGGCTAGTCGACAATGATCGAGGAGAGGATCCGGGTACTGAAATCAGACAGGAATCGCATCGAGGGTACAAATTGTGCGAAAGAGACACCTGAACGTCGATTAAGTGTTTGAAAACTATACGATGTCCGTGTGCTTCTACCTAGACTAGACCGGCAACTGGAAGGCTGACGTAGAATAGCAGGAACTAGGTGAGAGGTTGCCAACCGCTGGCGCCGCGCCCTCACCCCGGGGTGTCTGGGTTGTTGCTCCCCTTACGGTTCGCACGCTGCGTTGCCTCCCGCAGCGCACGCTAGCGGCTAACAGGCCTCCGCCCTTTTCACCGAAGACCCACTAGATAGGACTTCCCGCCCAGGAAAGGGGCCGGTTGTCTGGCTCGGTGGAGGTCTCTGTCGCTTGGCCGTTTTTGTTCAAAGGCGCCAATTGGGAAGTGAGTGTACGAATTATAAATGTACTGATTTGTGTTCTATAAGTGTTTACGACGATGCGGATGTGTATAGACGGAGCACAGTGACTTGGGTGCGTTCTACTGTGGGCTATTAAGCGATTCCCCGTCTGCTTCCAGAGAAGCCATAGCTCAGGTGTTGTGTGACAGACATGTGCAACTTCGGACACGTGACCAATTACTTGACCAAACTGGAGCAAGTGAGCTCGTCCCAGAGCGACGCTGTGTGAGAGCACTATGTGATTCATTCGTGGCTTGTGGAGCTACTGCTGAGTGTCTAGTGGTGGTCTGTGCGTTTTTTTCAGGTTGAAGTCGAAGGTCGCGTCGGCTTTTGGGCTTGTCGCTCTGCACGAAAAGAACTACCATGCTGCGGCTTCCAAGTTCATCGAGTGCAGTGCTGAGATTGGTGCAAGTGACAACGAAGTGCTGCACGCAGAGGACATTGCACTGTACGGTGGGGTTTGCGCTCTGGTGTCTTTTGAGCGCAAAGAGCTGAAGGAAAAAGTGATCAACAACTCGTCGTTCAAAGCATTCTTAGAGCTGCTGCCTTGGCTGCGCGAGCTCATTACGGACTTCAACTCAAGCAACTATGCGTTGTGTCTTCAGACGCTGGAGCGAAGAAAGGTGTGCTGGCCTCTTGACGTGGCGATTGCGACTGCTGCGTTTGGACTGACGTTGTGCTTGTCCGGTGCTGCTGGTAGCCTGAGCTCAAGCTCGACATGTATCTGTGTGAGCACGTGGCTAAGCTGTGCAAGGAGATTCGGAGCCGCGGAATCATTCAGTACTTTTACCCGTACCTGTCCGTGGATTTGCACCAGATGGCTCGCACGTTCAACACAGCAGCAGCGGACCTTGAGAAAGAGCTGTGCGAGTTGATTGCTGCCGAGCGTCTACATGCGCGAATGGACTCGTACCAAAAGGTGTCTATGGCGATTGCTGTAGCCTGTAACGTCCGACTCCTTTGCTCACCTCAATCTTGTCTGCACTCTACTTCTCGTTAGGTGTTGCATGCGTACCAGCCGAACCACCGCACTATTACGTACAAACGTGCGTTTGAAGTGGGCCGCAAGTATGCTGCCGAGTCGCGCAATCTGCTGTTGCGCATGAGTCTGCTCAAGAACAACGTGATCATCCGCGACTCGTGAACTCGAGCTTCAATGCGGTGTGATGTCTCGATCAGGGAGCGCGTATTGGGGCGTGACGACATTGCACGCTACAGCCATTCGATGGGTCGATCAATACAGTCGTGGCAGTTGGGGCTTTCACTTTCTGCGCTGGTCGTGACACGTCGCAGTCCGTATCGGACAGCTTCGCTTTGGACCACGAGCGACTTGGTATGCTCACAGTCGTAACACGGACTGATGACATCGTACTGTGCTGCATGTGTCGCTTCCATGATAGCTGGTACACTCGACGTTTCAATAAGATAGACGAACGAGCCGGGACATCGCGTCTGCATCAAACGTGAACGAAAGGTACGTAGCGATACCTATCAGCAAGGCTATGAAGCAAGTCAGGACTTGGCAGCTGAAGCAAAAGCCGTGCTCGATGAGGATTCCGAGTGTGTTGCACAAATCTCAATTGTCGTTGTTGTCTTTGTTGCTAGGACTTCCTCCAGCTGCCTCGCCAGTCGACAAACTACTAGCGGCTATCACGATCGAGCCACATGTACATCGTCTGAGACCGCAGGCAAAGTCAGACCTACATATATGTGCAAGACTCATCGACTCCATCTGACGGCACATGAGGTCGCACGGGAAAATGGACACTTGGGAATATACCGAGTCACATAATATTGGCCGTGGTCTTTCACGCGGCTTGATCCCGTCGTATACCAACACTCCATACGTCAATCACCAAAAACATGATCTACTGAATTTTCGTGTCGCCGCTTCCCTTAAGCGAAAGTTCCTCCCGGAAGCGACTCGGATGCATTGTCAACACGTCTCCTCCGCCCATGTCCACGCCTTTGATTCACACGTTTTCATGAGTTGTCTTCTCCATTTACAATCGCACTCCTGGTCAGACACATTTTGGTATCGCTACCGAAGAATTCCACGATCGCCCTCATCGAGTTGTTCGTCACTTCAAAACAGCGGATGCACGTAACTCGCCACACACGGCATGGGAATAGTCGGCGTGGCCATGTCGCTCGACTTCCGAGGCATCTTTATCATGCAGGTGTCTGACAAGTCTATAACTTCCTGGGATCGCAACTACCGCTCCCATACTTTTTGTCTTGCCGACAGTGCTTTCGCCCTTCAATCCAGTGGGCAAACCGCACGGAAATTTCTTCATGCATTGACGATACAGAGACTGATGAAGTGGTGATGAGGAAATGCTCGTGCCGAAAGCGAATAGACATGCGAGGGATACGCCTATCCGGGGCAGCTTTGTTAACTCGTCCCCTAGGACGACAATGTGGTTGCTTGTCTGCATCGAGACTATAGCCTCCAAGTAGAGACTAGAGCACAACGGATGCGACTACTACGGATAGCGATAGTGCTGTGCATGTCGGCATTGTCTCACGAGTGCTCTCCGTTGTTTGTTCACTAACGCGCAACCAGTTCTCGGTGAGTGCTGCCTTGCAATACAACACCTCGGCGACAATTGCACTCGCCGATGAGTGGACCACGAGCTTAAACTACAAGAAGACGCAGGAGCGTAGAGACGACGACGTGTCGAATGCAGACTGTTTCAGCCAACGTCAACGTCAACTTACCTGCTGCTACTGCATGTTTTTGACCAGCGGTGACAGCGGTTGCGCTCAGCGAGGAGGTACGTCTAGCGCGAAAGCTCTGTGCACTGCATCTATTCAGACGTTTTCATTTACGCCGCAGCGACTCGACAAACTCTGCAGTGTTTATGCTCAAAAAGTGATGAGGTTGCGATTGCTGGTGGTAATGCCACTGCGATTGCACTGGTTTTTTGCTCGAGGTGCGAGACGTTTGTGCTTTGCAACGTCGAGTTTTTCCTCCTGGGTGCACCGTTTGCTTGCTCTGAAGCCTACGAACAAACGTCTAGGAATAAAACAAGACACCGGCGACCTTTTGAGCAACGGATGGTTTGTTTGTTTGCGCATGCCCAATGAACCATAAAGCAAACAGGACTTGCCCATAAAGATAATAAACGCATGCCACGCATAGGACTGTCGCAGTCTACGACGCATTAATCCGCACGTGCATCGTGATATGTCCGCCTGCTGACGATCGAGGAATCCAGAGCAACAGCGAGCCACCTCCTTTACCAGGTAGACCGAAAAGCCCGGGACGCCAACGATCTAGATACAAAGTCTTGTCTTCCAGCTCTGAAAAAGTGGCATCCCAAGTCGTGATGTCACCTGCACCAATGTCAACATCCCCGTACTCGTCTCCGCCTGAGTAAATGTTGACCGTCACGTCCTTCGTATCAACGCTTTCAAAGATGAAATGGACAATGCCGTCGCCCGAATGCGTGTACGATCCGTAGGTGCCTACAAATGCTTCGTCCATCACTGAGAGTCCCAGCGCGTCGTACAGTGTGCCATCGTCGATTTCACCCACGTAGGCGGTTGGTCCACAAATTGGTTGCACCATTTGTGAAGCCAGGTACGCAATCCCACTAGGATCGATAAGAGACAATCCAACGAGGCCCATGTTGGCCACTTCCAACGCATATTCATCCTCGGCAACGTCCTTGCCGTTGTCTGTCTTACCCGTTTCAATGAGCTGGTCTACGATCACCCCAAATGTCTTTCGAATCAAATCACGATTCTCGAACGCCACCAGCTCAGTTTTGGTAGCCAGAAGTTCTTCCATGCAATTGTTCGTAACCACAGGAATGTCGTTCAGCACGATCGAAGTCTTATACACCTTGACGCGTAGGTCAGCGACAGAAGTGCTTTCGTTACGGTACAGGAGAACAGTGCGGGTGATACGATCAGTGAGGCGCTTGAGGTGGAAACCGCAACTTGTGTTCTTGGCAATTATATCTTCCACTTCGTCCACCGTCGTGCTTGACTTGTTTCCTAAGCCAGCGCCAGAAAGTAGATTGATCACGTCCGACGCACTCGAAATGACCAAGTCGGGGTTGGTGATCACCACCTTCACAATACCTTGCACGGTGGCGAGCGCGTAGGACAGGTACTTGGCGTTTTCACTGACCTTAAAGCCCAAACATATCATTACCGTTATAGGGAAATCGTGCACGACAAGGTCAGCCTGATAGGCAACAGCGAGCATCTCTTCTACTTTTCCCACGGGCGCCGTGGTTTGCCGATACCGCATGTAGAAAAGCAGACCTCTGATCAAACTGATGATTTGTCCCACGCACAAAGCAGCCCACTTTGCGGTTCTATAGACAAACGAGAGGCTGCCGAGCAAGTTACCAGTGACTAGGTTCAATGCCACAGTGACAGCTGCGCCGATTTTTGTCAGTACCGCCATGACACAGTCATCGTTCTGCGGAATGCACTCCAGACCGCACGTAACCGGGTAGGCTAACGGACACTGAACGACGCAATCAAAATCTTGTTTACCATAGCCCAACGGGCACTTGTTCTTGCTGTCAAATTCAACCGACTTGCGGTAGCACGCAGTGTCGCCGTGTTTGCCGATGGTGGGGCCCACCCAGTTACGTATAGTGCCGCCGTATGAGTTATTTCCCACATTCGAAGAGTCCGTAAGCAGCAAGTTTTTTGCATCTATTCTCGTCCAAATGACACCGAGTTGATCGACTTCGTCAGCAGAGCGGCCGTAGAGCCCAGCGAACCTAAAGCCTTCCGGGGGCGTCACAGTGATTTTATAATCCGTCTTAGTTCCTCCAGCAAGCGTTTTGCCCTCGCTGGTGGTAAAACAGATATAAAACACACGCGTACGTCCAGACTTCTTTCCCGCGTGAATCTCCACTGACGTGATGGACTCCGTAGGACCGAGATCAAGCGACTGCTCAGTTCCACCACTACCACCATGATTCATGATTATGTCAGCGGGCGCGGTGACGTGCACTGTTACAGCATCGAGTCGTAAATTCGCCCGAATCGAGACCGTACTAATGACATGGCCATACTTGATCTTCTTAATGTCTGAGAAGGCGTTACCGTGGGGGCCGCCAATAAACTGGCTGAGCATAATGTTCTCGTCCGCTGGAGCGGACACAGTCTCGTTCACGTATTCAATACTTGACCATACAGCACCAATAAGGTCCATCTCATCACCAGATCGACCAAAAAAACCGGCAAGTTGGTAGCCTTTGGGCGCTGTCGCTGACCCTTTTTCGCTGGTCTGAGATCCTCCAGACAATGACCTCCCTTTGCTCGTACCCAAGCTTAGAAAAAAAATACGAGTGTGGCCTTTCCTTTGACCCCAGTGGGCCTCCATTTTCGTGATGTATTCCCCTGGTTCAAGCACCATTGTGTGTTCCTTACCACCGGGCCCACCATGAGTGAAAGTCATCTCCTTTGGTAAAGATACTTGGACCGTGAGGCCGTCAACGCGCTTAGCAGCACGAATGGTGACGGAGGTGATGGTCATCCCAGACGTAACAGCACGCTGATCCGAGAACTGTTCCCCGTGAGGACCGCCGAATGAATCGCTTAGTTGAACGGCTTGGTTGTTCACTTTTGCCTTCACTTCTGACAAGCTTCCAGCGATGTCAACAGGAACTACTTCACCCGGTGAGTCTTCTGATGGTTTTCCAACAGGAGCTACGATAGGGGCGGGCTTGACAAATTCGATATACGCCCATACCGCTCCCAACGTGTCAATCTCTTTGCCATCCTTGCCAAAGAAACCGGCCAGCTGAAAGCCTTCAGGTGCTGTGACCGTGAACTTATCACCTGTCATCGTACCCCCGGACAAAGATTTGCCTGCGCTCGTGAGGAAGTTCACGTAGAAAATTCGCACGTTGCCATCTTTTTTACCCCTGTGGACTTCCATCGAGTTGATGTATTCACCGTCACCTAGCACTAATTCCTGCCGGGTTCCACCGGTTCCTCCGTGCGTAAAAGTAAGTGCCTTGGGTGCGGAGATGCTCAATGAGATACCATCAAGACGCTTGTTGGCGTAAATGGCAATGGACTTGACAGTTTGTCCTGAATTGGCCAAATTCTTGTCCGAAAAGTCTCTCCCATGAGGTCCGCCGAAACTTTCGCTCAACACGACGGAGTCTTTCACATCGATTGTCGGGCCTGCGGGGGCTTCCGTTCCTGGCGGAACCAGTGGTTCTGAAGCAGGAGCTTCCGCTACCGTAGAAGAAGATCCAGCCGTAGATGCTGCTGCCGAATCTTCATCAGATGCGGTACAAGAATCGGAGCCCCCAACACACGATTCTAATTCACCCCCAAGAGCCTTCATACCCGAATCTCCCGAACCGCCCAAAGACCCGGCAGAAGCGTCGTCAATAGAATCAGCTAAATCCGCAGACCCCGTCACATAGTCATCAGTATACTCGTCTGGATCCGCAGACCCGGCAGAAGCGCCATCAGTAGACTTTGCTGAGTCCGTAGACCCCGTTCCAGCGTCATCGGTAGACTCGGCTGCAGAACTCTCCAATGACCCCGTGCTTGATGCACTGTCTCGCGATGGGTCAGTCGCCCGGGTAGCGCGAGCCTCAGTTACTGGAGCCTCAGTTGCTGGAGCGTCGGCCGAAATGCGGGACCAAATCGCGCCCAACTTGTCAAGTTCGTCGCCGCCTCGACCGAAAAAGCCGCCAAGTTGGAAGCCCTCTGGCGCCGTCACGGTCTCCATGGCATCCGTCTTGGACCCGCCCGAGACCGCGTTGCCGGCACTTGTTCCAAAACTGAGGTAGAAAACCCGTGTGCGACCGCTTTTCTGGCCCCAATGCACTTCCATCGACGTCACGTACTCTTGCGGCCCGAGCTGGAGCACGTGCTCCGTCCCGCCACTTCCTCCGTGCGTGAACTTCGTGGCACGGGGGCCCGTGACGTCCAGCGACACGCCGTCCACGCGTTTGTTCGCTCGGATCATGAGCGAGCCAATAGTTTGGCCTGGAACAACGGCCGCCTGGTCGGAGAACTCGACTCCGTGGGGTCCCCCAAACGCCTCACTCAGCTGGACCGGGTCGTTTGACGCGGACAGGCCCTTGACGAGGAGCAGACATACTACAACTGCCTGGTAGACGCGGGCTGCCCTGTGCATGGCGCTGAGCGGTGGCAAGTGACTGGCGAGATGGACTGTGACGACACTGTCGTCCTGCGGACCATAGCACAAAAACGGCTCTGGCGTCAGCGATGTAGAGGTGCGGTCAGTCCCCGTTCGACTGACTTGTTTTCGGGAACGACCCCACCCCACCCGACGCGACACACATACAAACATACACGCGGAACAGACGAACAAGGTCTTTTTTAGGATTGGCATCCAATCCCAACAACAAATACAAATACATCAACGACATCAACGACAATTCATAAAGGATTGACGACACGCTCTTGACGGAAGCTCGTTGCATCCTCATTGTCGAGTCGAGACTCGTGGCTATCCAGTTCGGACCTTGGCGAAAAAAACACGTGTGACGACGTGAGCGTGAAATGCCACGCACGCATTCCAAAGCCGATCGAGCGACGCACGATACTTTTGGTCGCGAGTGTTTCAGGGGCACAAAGAGTATGCTTTCGCTTTGGAGCGGGAAGGGATTGACGGTCCTTTGATCACGGCCTTTGACATCCAAACAACAACACGTTGCGAGTGGAGTCGACTATCGATTCGCATGGTGTTTTCGTTTGATTGGCACACGCTGTGGTCCAACGACCGTCAACCTTTTTTCAACTTCGTCGTTGCATACAGGTCCTGCGTATGCGTCCCAGGTGGGAATGCGACTGCATTCTTTGCAGCAGCGAGGTCATAACGAGCAGCTCCAGGTGGAGAAGCACGGGGAGGCGCTCGAATGAAAGTGAGAGGTCGGGTCGTCGATTGGAGCTACTTATCACTCGTAAGACGTCTATTGTGTGGAAACCACCTCGGTCATCATCTACCATGACACGAACTTTCTCCTACCACGTTCCTCATTCTGCTGGCTCGATATTCCAGACGTCACGGGGGACACTCTCGAAAGGCCACGTGATAATGACTGTTGACCAATTCCGGGGTTAGTACGTTGTGCGCACTCTTGGCCGGATGGCTGGGCTGCGCGTCGCTTCGCGCGCATCTACTACAGGGGACAGAGGACGCATGGCCAGGAGGCCTGTTCCACTTAGGAAGTCCGAGCGTGCCATGTTGACGTAATCCCTAATCGTTTTCGTGGTGACCGACTTGCTGTGCTCTTCGGGCCGATCCCATTGCACAATCTAGTGCAGATGTGCCCAGGCGCACCACGAGACGAAGAGTATCGTGGCCTGGTGCTTACTCTACATGAACGACCGGTACTGGATCTCAAGAGGTCATCACGTTCTGAGGAGAGTTTACTTCGTGGGAGTGGGTATCGCGCGCAGCGAACGAATCGGCGCGAGGGGAGGCACTTCGTGAAGAGCAGAAACTAACGTGGGCACGGGAATATCGATCTCTGTCGGCATTCCCCGTGCTGCGGGATACCGGGAATTGCTTCCCTCTCGGGTCGCACGCGCAGCGGAGAAAAGGCCTCCCCCCTTTTAACCTTGGCCCAACTGAGGGGGGACATCCCGTCCAAGGTAAGGGGACCAGATAACTCGCTCTTAGGACGTCTCTGTTCGTTGCTGCTCGAAAAGAGCAAATTTGGAGGTGGTCTCGAATGAAAGTGTTTCGGCATCGTAGAGTCAATATTGTCGCCAGTTTTCACAATCCCTAGTGAATGGATTCCCGGTATGGCGTGGCCAGACAGCTCGTGCATCAGGAACGCCGGCGGCTGCAACGATTTGGCAATCACGTGGGGAAAGTCTCACGCATCCGCTTCCCAATTTGGCCTGTCGAGCAGCACGAGCGACGAAGGCCTCCAATAAGCCAGTCAACCGGCCGCCTTCCCTGGGCGGAAAGTCCACTGTAGATGGGCCCAGGTAAAGGGGGAAGGCCTTCTTGCTGCTGCGCGCGCCACGGGAGGCATCGCAGCACCGTGTGACCTGGAAGTCGAGCAATAGGCACGACATCGAGATGTGGGGCACGTCGACGGAGTATCAAACACCTGTACCCAAGATGCAAGCAGTTCCTGCTCTTATACGTCCGCCTTCAAGTCGCCGGCACGTTCGCCGAGCGCGGATTCTTGCTCCCACGAAGAGAACTCGCCTGGAGCGTGATGATGTCTGTTCGATCCAGTACCAGCGATGCATGTAAGGAACAAGTCAAGATGACCCATGGGAGCCTGGTCGAAGTGGTGATTGGCCGCACCTTTCTGGCGTCCTCTGCACCCCTATGTGTACCGGGGCTGGTTTGCCGATACAGTGCCCTCGCGAAGTGCCCGTGTAAAGCCCAACGCCTTTTCCATGCAGACATCTTAGAATGGTTACAAGTACTCAATCGACAGTCTGATCCTCTCGAAAGTCTCATTTTTATGGCATACTTGTTGGAATGGTAGTGCATGTGAGAGGTACAAATGGGGTTTGTGCACCGCAATCGATTCTCGCGCTGCAATGATTGCGAGCGACGGCGATCTAGAAGTGGTCCACGACCGATCTTGGAGCTGTGCTCATTGCGAGCGACAACGATGTCAAAGGCGTCAGCACTATAGATAAGTAAAAGGAAAAAAAATCAAAGGACACCCCGTTTTGTCGAGAATTTGACCAACGCAGAAAGATACATTATATAATCGATCGATAAGTCAACGCAAAAGGATGTCCTTTATCCGCACGAACATATACATGCTCAGGAACCACATCGAATATCGATATTATCGCTACTAATCATCCAAAAAAAAACTTTCTTAGCAATCGGAGATGGATACATAAAAATACATCCGATAATGACGGTTACAAAAACGTGCCGTATCGTAAGAAAGCAAAAGGAATGCACTACAAGAGTAAATAAAAACAAAATGCATCAGCGACGTGTTTTACACGCCTGAGCATTCACCTACTGATCGTATCGACACGATTCCATGACACGATTCGATACTACTTCCCTTACTTGATGAACTAAGTAAGGAAAGGTATAAAGAAGAGTTGCATGGATTTGCTATTCCGACTACTTCCGTTGACGCTCACTTCGCGAGAGGACAATGGTGCGATGACTCTTCGAACGTTGTCCAATCATCTCGTACATATGTCGACTGTGAGGCAGCGTTGTTTTTATTGCTATCATCCGCTTTACAATAGGTTTGACCTTATATTTAAGTGCATCTGTCGCCTTGACGGTGCCGTTGAGTATGAATAGAAAAAAGACAGCGCAGTGTAGACGTGTCGCTGTACAATACTGCAAAAAATGCTCGAGGGAACGACTGAACAGACGCAGCAGGAGCAGACATCATACTGGAAGGCTCACATGATCTTTCTCGTACTATTGCTGGTAGTCATGCGGGAGCTTGTCTGTAGTGAACTTAATGAGATTGAAGCGAGCGACGCTGATAGATTGATATGGTCTTCACAAAAGAAGCTACTACCGGTCATAATGACGTTGTCGTTGATTTAAATATTGCCGTCTGGCTGCTGATAAGGCGGGTGTAATATTGACCTGGAGTGGGAAACGGATGCACGCAAGTGATAACATCGGTCCTCTCAATTTACCTTAAAAATGTAGCACGATATAACGGCAATTCGGTGTGGCCCATTCGTATGACCAAGTATATTACCTACAACGCAGATAATAATGATGCTCCCGTTGCAAAGAGTAGGTATCCTGAAGCAAAAGTATATGGTGAATGAAGTAAACAATAGATCCAAAACACCATGTGGCACCATCGCCATTGAGCCACCGGGAATGCCCGACAGCTGTCAGACCGCTACCACGTTTGTATCATCTTAGCACAACATCTCTATTTTGACGCGATCTCAAGTGTGTGCACGTACGGACGTTTAACGTTTAATGGGTCGTTATAGTGTTTTTAGAAAGAATTGCGATTGTTTCGTTCGCTTTTTATTTCTCATTGGTAGGCGTATCATTTCTTTACTTATGTACTGACTATTTTTTATTTTTAGAGACAGGAATCGCGTTAGATACTTCCGAAAAAATAAAGCATTACAGATAAGAAATGTAAATATGTGCACCCCGAGATAGAACACATAATCGGATACAGCTCTTCGGCACAATGTCTGCTTTTGATGCCTTTCACCTATTCTCCGTCTTATCCTGCCTCAAGTCGATCTTAAAAATCTCAAACAGCATCTTAGGAGCGCGACATTGACTCTGCGCTGTCTCATCCTATGTAAATTCAGCAATCACGCCAAGGCAACGAAGCACCAAAGCTTGTACTGACACATACACGCTACCTCCACTAACCACAGTGTAGACAGGGGCCTCAAACCCTAACGTACACTGGTCGCGCAGACGAAGGCAAGTCTACTGTCAGTAGAAGGGAAACAAGCGCTGTATCAGATCGACAACTCCGTTTCCTCTCAAAACCTCTTTTGTCTTTATTTGACCAAATGAAACGAAACAATCCAAATGTAGCTACTCGCTCACTACCCCGTTGCGCGCGTGTAGCAGCGTATTCTTATACCTTATCAAATGCAATAATTTATTGCGCATGTGTGGCAGCGATCCAGGGTTTAGCCAACAAGAAATAATGGCCGACATCAAACATGAGCGAGGCATTGCCCAGTATTTCCCTCGAAGGTAATATCCCGCGAATAAGTTGACTCAGCAAAGCAACTATTTCGAGAATATTATCAGTATCGATAAACTTCGCATGAATCCGTTTTGGTGTTAACGACATACAACGGGCTCACCCCGTTGCAAGAAGGCTACACATTATTTTCATTTTATCACCAAGGACCTGACAGATAAAGATAAAAGCAATGTCGCCGAACAATCGGACGGTAAACAACACTGTCATTCTCATTCGAAATGTCCACGCACCCTTTTCCCCCTCCTCTTAACACATGACTATCCTCGGGGACAGATGATTAGGGCTCGAGTAAATGCAAAAGAGTAAAAACGAGGCAGATGTAAACGGACGTATATGAACGATCGCAGCACGTGCATGATCGGTCGTATAGTATGCATCGGTTGTGTCATTTTTCATTTCTCGTCTTGTGGTACCTCTTTTTAAATTTTCGAGATTAATTGGTGCCCTTTTTCTGTTATTCTTTCTACCAACGCTATATTTAGCAGAATATCACTATGAGTTGAGATTGTAGCTCTCGAAACGAATTGGGCGCATACAGCGTACATTAGAGGGATCAACAAGGGGATCATGATATAGCTGTAGAGGGATCAAGAAATATAGTTGGAAAAACGTTGAAACGCGAAGACAACGATGATCAATCGAAGTCCAGGCCAGAATATACGATCAGCTTGCTGATGCGACGCGGTTTGTGCTCATACACGTACATGTGATCGGAAAGAGACGATTTCGCATGGATAATGGCATTGACCAAGAATTTATAGTGGATCAGTGATACTGTAAGTCGAAACTGCAAAACTGGAAAAGGCGAAAGTCAGTTGCGCTACGCTTCTCAAAAAATGCTTTTGTCATTGTATGCCGCCAGAAAAAAAACCGCAGAAAGCTTGCGACTCAGTGATTGGCCCTGACGGTCAAAGTCGCATTATACAATGACGACATATTCATAAAAGCGCTTTAAAAAATCCATTGTGTCGGTCATGAGCTCTCTCTTGGAAGGTCTGACGTTCGTGCGTCGCTCGGAGGGCGACAACCAGAAGGACGTGAGTTCAGAGAAGAAGCGGAAGCAGAAGAAGAAGGAGAAGAAGACAAAGAAGGAGAAGACGAAGAAGGAGAGGAAAAGCGAACAAGAGAGTGCGCATACAAAGAGACACAAACGCAGACGTGAAAGCGACTACGATCGCGAAACCGACGAGAAGCCTAAGGACGAGAAGCCCAACGACGAGCATACAGCGGTGAAGACCACGTTGCAACGAGATGAGTGGATGTCCATGCCCATGTTCACAGAGTCCGAAGTGAACGAAAGTGCTCGTTGCAAAACTGCAGCAGAAGAAGACACTGATCGCAAGCAAAAGAAGGTTCAGGCCGAGATTGACGCAGGCATGAGAGAACCCGTGACTGGTATGGTCTATGGGCTATACGACCCGAAAAAGCCAGACGCCGAGCCGACAGTGTCTAGTGACATGGTCCAAGGAGAAGAAGCTGGCACAGCGGGAAGAAGTGAAGGAGACATGCCGGTGTTTGGCGATGGAGGGGCAAGTTGGCGAGCAAAGATGTTGAGGCGAGCAGCCGATCGGGCGCGAGCATCAGGCGTCGCGTTGGAGGACGTGGTGAACGAGAGATTCGAGTCGGTGAGTGCACTAAAGAGCAGTGCTCGGGGATCAGCGAGGGATCATGCGCACTTGCAGTATAAACGACACCGGACTGATGAGGTAGAAACAGTCAACAAGGTATCAACGCAGCGACGGACGTTGGGTATACGGCAAGATGCAAAGGACAAGACACTGCTTTCGAAGTACTCGACGCGTGTCCAGCAATCTGTTGTGACACACAACCTAGACGTTGATCTTGCACGTTCTCAACCGCAAACGAACGGGTGCTCGTCACAGCGAAGATATGGTTTGCAAGATGATGACGAGGAACCAATTGATTACGACAAGCTGCCTTGTTTCGAAGACCGTAATGCCAGGGCGAAGGCCACGGAACGTGTAGCTCATCGTGAGCGCAACCGTGAAGACGTCAAGAAAAGCTCTCGAAAAGGTTACCGTCGTGGTGAGGGGCCTGATCGTAGTCAAACTTGCATTGGGGTACGACCAGACCTCGCTAAACGCTCACGTATGTCAGAAGGTCGGTCGCGATCTCGGTCACGGTGTCGGTCGCGATCTCGGTCGCGATCTCGGTCTCGTCATCCCCATCGCTCACCAGTTGACCATGGCTCGGACTCTGCGCATTCAAGCAAGACTTGTCGTGATCGGCACAGAACCACATCGCCGACGGCTGAAAAGCACGAAGTACCAACGCAAGCGGCTGCCAAAGGCGAGACGAATCGATCAAGTTGTTCCGAAGCAGAAGCGCGTGCTGAGAGGCTTTTAGTTGAACAACGCAATGCGTTTCTGTACGGCAGTAAGAAGTCTACTGCTTCTTTAGCCACAGACGAATTGGACACGTCAACGTTGCAATTCGTGACGGAACAGCAAACGCCATCTGCTTTTGGAGTAGACAAGACGCTTGACTCGTCTACGAGAACTAGCACATCCAGTTCTTACGCGACACGAAGTCCCGACAAAGAGGACGGCAAGGCCGTGCTAAACAAGCTGGCAGCAAAGGCTTTGCGTGCTCAAATGATGGGCAAGACAGCCCTTTTTCGGAAGCTGACCGAAGAACTCAACGAGTTGGAGGCTAAGCTAGAGCGGGAGAAGATAGCAGCTGCTGTTCCACACTTTGAGGCCATCAGTGGTGCGTTGCCGCCTCTTGAGAAAGAGGATATGCTCTGTGGGTCACGCAAAGGGAAGAAAAAGCTTGCGAAGTCGATAGAAACTGGCAACATGGACGTGGCAGCGTCACTCGAAGCGCTGGTACGAGAAGAGCGCCTATCACGTGCACATGTCGAAAACGACGACATGGATTCCGTTCATGCGCGGAACATTTTCCGGCTGGGCTCGCGCTACAAGGGGACTGAAGTAAACGCTCAGAATCTTTCCAGCGGATTTGACGAGGAGGAACAGGTGGACATGAGAATGCTGCGACAACCTGGTTCGAACCTTACTCGGCGTGCCCGATCTCAGCGGGAGCATGTGACTGCTGTAAACGAGACAAAAGGATGGGATGAGCGGACGCGAAAGTGTCAGTTGTGTATGAAGAGTCAAGGTTTCAAAAAACACCTGATGCTGTCGTTGGGCGAGTTTACGTACCTGGCTGCACCGAATCGACCTCGGTTGCATCCTGGCCACTGCATGATCGTGCTGATCGATCATACTTGCTCTGTTGTTCAAGCAGAGGAGCAGGCAATTGAAGAAATTGCACGTTTTCAGAGTGCATTAACCCGCATGTGTGAAGAGCAATACGGCAAGAGTATGGTGTTTATCGAACAAACCAGCGCACCTCATCGGAAGAGGCACACGATAGTAGAGTGCATTCCCGTTGACCGGGAGCTGGCGCTAGACGTACCACTTTACTTCAAGCAAGAGCTGATGCAGGCTGACGGAGAGTGGAGTACACATAAACCGATCATTGACACGAGCAAAGGTGGCATTAGGAATCACGTTCCGCCTATGTTTCCATACTTCCACATTGAATGGTGCACGCGGGAAAGCAGAGGCGGGTACGCGCACGTGATCGAGGATGAACACAAATTCCCGCGAGACTTTGGTGTGAATGTCGTGGCGGGTATGCTTGATGTGACGCCACCTAATTATGGACGACGTGAGACTCGTAATCGTCGGTCATTTGACGATGAGAAGCGGGACGTGCTTGCATTCCTAAAGGAGTGGAAGCCGCATGACTGGACGCAAGATCTTGACGGTGGAGAGATTGACGCGAGTTGTGAACAGCAACAAAGTCGGTCGGAAGATGCCGACCACGCAGTTTGAGCAGCCGATTATACGCACGTTCGTCCACTTAGAACGCTTTTTTGCAGCTCATATGTCAGCGGTGGGGACCACCGCCTGGTAATTGGTAGGCGACGTTGTGTGTGAGATGTCGGTCAGCACCGCGTTGTCGGTGTAGGTGGTGTCAGGAATGTATTCGTACGCTGTCACAGTTATAGCCACGTGAGAAAACGGCATCGCACATATTGGACAATGTCAAATGCTGCCCCTTCACCTGCATACGTATCGATGACGTCTTCCTTTGACCTGATTACGACACTCGTCACGATCAATTGCACTGTAAAAATTACACCATGCATCGCACAAGCCAAACAGCTCGCAGTCGTGCGTTGTGGATTGCTGCGGGCCTCCAGTCCCTTCCAATCCACATACCACTTGATCAGAAAAAACACGATTGACCAACTACCATCGATCCACATACCCAATACAGAGCCCCACGCAATGCCATCACTAAAATCAGCGACGACGCTCCGACAAGAAGCCCGATCTGTAACAGCAAACGATACTTTCTCAGCAAGAACAACTTTTGCAGCATAACATCGACATTCGAGCGAGAAAGTCTCACGGAAAAGGCAGACGGCGCCTTGTTGAGAATCGAAATGGCCACGAACGTATACGCCACGTAGATAGTGGCTGTGACAACTGCATTGAAGGCCACGAAGGTTGCTGATAGTAGACGAATGGTGTTTACTAGCAAAGCGCAGGACAGAACCTGAGCCACGAAAAAAGTGGAAAAAAGACGGTCAATAGCGAGTTCAACGAGGCCGTAGCTAGACGTGGAAAGCAATGCAATGGATATCTCCGTGTCTCTCTTTTTGCGGAGCAGCGGCAGCCACGACCGTACCAGGTTGCAACATAGTGCTGCATTGAGCAGCAGTTTACGGCGAGTCTCAAACATGTTTTGTGGTCGCTTTGCGAGACAAAACTAAAGTTACGGCAAAATCAATGTTTTGCCGTAATTTATGACTATGGTACCCAAAAGTTCGGATGTCCGATACGCAATGGAAGCACTGCTGCACATCTCATCAGCCGCTCAGACTTGACGTGTAGCTAGACCATACTGGAAGTCACGTGGCATCCTTTGTTGAAGCCAAGTGGTGTGCCTTAGTACAAGAGGTTCCTGCAAGGTATTATTTCGAGGAACAGGAAGGACTTTTTAAATGCGAGAACAGATACACGATAGACAAGAACGACTCTTCCGAAACCGTGAAAGCATCTTTGAATCGTAGGTATCCACCAGACTAACAGCACTTACATATCTACACCCTTTCATTTCCAAGCTGTGTGGCAAATCGTTTTCCTACAGACCATGCGCACAGAACAGCAAGAATCAGTTACGCCGACCAGTCACAATTACATTGTAGACAAGGAAAGATATAACGTAGGTGGAAAGCCTCGGGGTCGTTGTAAGAATCTAGTGTCTAGTGCCCAAACGTTTTGTAGGCATCGCAAGTGGGGCGTATTGACGAAGCGCAGAAAAAAACGTACACAGTCGATGAACTTCAAGCGCGGCGACGTCCAGGCGACTGGCCGCGATGTCTGATGTGACGACTAGAGGAAGCGGCGACTAGAAGCGTTTGTGTTGGTAACGCTGAATCCGTTCTCCGGATTTCTGATTGCTGACATTCTCAATATTATGTATTCACAATATTTATTAATATTGTTGATGCTCTCGAAATTGCCGACACATGTTGCTGAGTACGCTGTATACGTGCGTCGAGAGGGTGCACAAGGACAAGCCGTTTGTAATCATTATAGTGTAATAACATTATAAAACGAACGGCGGTGTTCATATGTATACACTAGCGCTTCAAGGTGCTGTTTTGTACAAACGAAATAATCATCCATATATTACTCGATGCACTTTGACGTTGACGGGGGTCGCGCCAACACATTAAGACTTGATCAAGGTCAGTATCAGATTATCTCGTCGGAAGATAACGGATAATAATGTTACCTTAGGATGTATCACTACATCACGCTGCGCCTTGGCTGATATCAACCATTCTGTCAGACAACAGTGTCACCAATCGGGGACAGAGGCGCGCAATGAGTGGTGGAAGAGTAGTTGTCGCACGTCTTTCTAGCTACGTATAGTGAAAGTAAGCCTACAATTTAATATATCAGTAGGGACTCATCTGACTGAATACAAGTCTTCTTTTCTATTCACCAAATTATTAGCATAAAGAAGGACATGTGCTTTCATCACACCCTCATCGAATAATTTGCCAAATATTGTGAAATTGTAAGCGAGGGCATAAAAGTCAAATAGCAGATTGCCGAATTTATGTTCCCAAGAAAGCTTTAAGTAAGTCTATATTGTATAATTATTTAGCCCTATCTCCAAAAATATTTATGTAATTCGATGAGATGAGAGAGTGAATATCGACGAAGAGGATGTATTTCGGTAGCGAATAAACCTGTGGGCGATCCAGGAAGTGGATGAGAATCAAGATGAGGACAGCTAGACAGGCTACAAGTTTATCAGTCGGTCATTAAGTAGATCGTGGCACCATGTATACAGATAGCGTGATGGGTTCGAGGCTACGTTTTATAATGTTGTACACCGGCGTGGAATCAACTCTCAGTAGGGATATAAATCTAAATGGATGATAAAAGTGATAAGGAAATATCATCGATCGACATTGACATGCCTTCGGTAGATTACATCCTCGAAGCTGCACTGAAGTAGTCGCCACTACTATTTTTCCAGTGTGCAAAGATGTTTGTATTCTATAGCTTGCACGTATCGCACGAACAACCTTCCTAGAAAGTTGATTGATAGTGATGGTGCGGATGTGAGAGAAGCCGGTAAAAGTTCGTAGGGCGTCACGAGCCCGGAAGATATGATATTAATTTAATAAACGACGCCAAATGATGTCAATAGCGATCAAAAAAGAGGCGCGAGGGTAACCCCATTTGCTCAAGGAGTGGATAATAAGGTCGATCTGACGGCAAGAAGTTAGCGGAAAAATGTTACACACCGAAATCCTTTACGCGAAACAAAAAGGTCGAAGTTCTTTTAGACAATATGTACGCGCAGGATATCATCGATGTTGTCTTAGACTGAAAAATTAATAAGTAGCTAAGGAAGAGGTTAGGGCTAGAAGATGATAATGGTTTCCAATTGCAACGAAAGAATGATGCTCAAGGTGAAGTAGCCGTAGTAAGGACTCTGCTCGGAATCGGAAGAGGTCCAAAAGCCAGGGCGCAAAATAAACCGAATGTCACAAGAACGTTTTTAGGTCCAATTATTGACGTGGAGCTAACACCAATAATGCTTTCAGCAGATCAATCCGTCTTAGCCCCAAATGCCAAAGCTAAGCGTGAAGGTGCAGCAAAGCAAATTTACAATGGCCAAAAGAGAAACTTACAAGTCTTGCGAACATCAAATACTACGAACATAACCGCAGCCCTGTTGGGCTTTGGCATCATTAGCTTTGAATACTCACAATTGAACATTTCACAATGAGATGCAATTATATACAGCGCGTATTGACGCCTTGAACGATACTTTAACCCACAACTTTAGCCGCAAGTTATTTTTTCGGCATTAACCTCATTAGAACCAGGTGCATCTTATCATCAACATGGCGGGCAAGAAGAGGGCAAAATTAATCAATTAAGCGGTCCAAATATTTATTCCGAGTAGTGAGTACCATATAGGTGGATCGTTGTCCCAGAAACACGACCCTTTATAAACTGGTATGACGATGTGAACACAGGGCCTCTAGCAGTCGATAATGCAATGTGACGCCCTTTTGATTACTGTGTATGATACATCGTCGCCAGAACTTTCAACCTCTTGTCGTGGTCTATGTTAATTAAGAAAGGGAATTTGGAGATCAATGATAAGTCGAAAAAATGGATCAACTTTGAAGACCTGACCTCGAATAGGGTCAATTGGGTGTATTTACGTCGAGCTTGCTTTATAAGGGTCTAGGTAGGTATGTACCTGTCATCTGAATATCAAGCCTGATATATCCATGTCATTAACTTTCTAATAAAGTTTGGATGAGCAATCCTCTACAACCAGAAAAGAAAACAAAATCCGGCCCATTACAATGTATGAATGCCGATCAAAGCAGCTCTGCAGCTCATATTAGTGATACAAGAGAGTTTTATCGATATCGCATTGTTTGCACAGTGAGAGTTTTCCGTGTTATCAAAATCGTCACGATGCCACAGCTAATGTATACTTATGTGCTCTCATCGTTATAATCTACAATGCTTATCCACTATGTCCAGGCGTCGACCGATGGATGATAACCGTTTTGCAGTCACGCATCTACTGAATGAAGTTATTTTAATGAATTATTTACGTGTTATATACGTCATGCCCCATTCTTGTAATAAAATTTACGCGACATATATTATGGACTTGATGGACCCGGCAATATCATTTTTGTTAATATTACGCAGCTTTTTAGCAACTCTAACTTTCACAGTGGCACTAATTGCTATAAATCTGTACGTACCTAATACAAATAATAATTTGTCTATATAGTAGCGTCTATCAGGATCAGGCAACATGTACGTCGTAGTATAAGAAAACAAGTCGCTTTCGAGTTTCTGCAATTTTGGTGGTATCGACGAAACACGTGATATGATTCGAAAACATTACGGGGAGAGAGTCCTTACATGAAAATAATAAATATTGGGTGTTATGTGGTACCATCTGAGCGGATAGCGTTAGCACAAGAATTTCATTTCACGTTTAGTACTAGCAGGGATTGAAGAAAATCTTCCCAGTCGGTGAATTATGGCCATGCTTATAACCTACACGAAATATGACATTTTAAGATACATGTGCTACAACAATAGCGCATAATCATGCACCAACCATACAACGGTCATTATAGATAAATGATAATGAATAGACTATGCATGAACCCTGTTCCCACTGACTCAGCTTCTTCTTTTTTTACGCTTCATCATAAGTAAACTATCTGAGTAATGCTAATTCACATGCCTAGACGTTT